CTATGCTATCATTGCCACTTAGTTTTTCTAGAACTTTCGAAACAAATAATAATGGCAATCCCACCGAAAGATCAACAATACCTAAGCACTCAAAATACAAGCAATTAGACCTTATTCAAAATACTAAAGTTATGACACTACCTCGCCGTCAAAAAGATAATATCAAACCTCCAGAGTTTCGAATTCAGCCAAATGGTTATGCCTCTTTACCAATACGCAGAAATGATAGACGATTTTATCGACCTATGCGTATGGCAGAAAAAATTAACCCAATCATTGTAAATAAGACCAGATCACCATCGTCAGGCGAGGAATCTCCGATTTCAAAATTGGGGACTAGTGTTAGTGTTCCAATTCAGTTAGAGGCACTGAACACGTCACCAATAATGGTTAAATATTCAAACAGTACAACTTCTATACCAGATTTAGTAAACGATAAATTAATTGCGACCGTAGCGAATAGTAGTGAGTCAATGCCAGACTTACCGTCAACAGCAGTAACACGATTTTCATCAGTTTCTGATAGTGAAATCACTTCAGAACAAAGTGGGTGGGTCTCTAGTCGTCGGTCTTCAATATCTTCATTTTCTGGTCAAATTACTCCAAAAGGTTAGTTTTAATCGGCTTCTAAGTTTATTCAGTAAATGATTAAATTGTTTGTTTTATTTTTAGTGGATGATCCGTATGATACAAAACACGATTTGTACATAGGAAGAGAAATACAAAGAAGGTTGTTAAAATTACTTGAAGAGTCACCAAACAGAAAAATGACTATAACTGAAAAAAAAATAAAACCTTCTAAATGTATTAAACCGTCTGGGGCTAATAGGTTAACGACCAATGACCAGTCATATGAAGAAGTTCGCTTACCACCGCCCAGACAGTTTAGAGATATTCCTCTTCCACCTGAACCTTTTAGGGATACGATTCCTCCACCGGATTCGGTCGACAATTTATTATATCATATGTATGAAACCGTAAAAGAAGCTAGATGGAATGATCAACATCGATTAGCGATGAGACAAAAAAAATTTTCAGAAAGTTCTAAGAAACCTATAGCCAGGTATCAAATTCAAATCAATGTTCTTATTTCTAATTTAATCATTTAAATATAAATTTAATAGAAGTAAGAAAAGTAATAACATGGAACCGGAGTACTACGAGGACGAAGTGCAAAAAGACTTAAAAGCTGACGGCCGAATTCATTCATATAACAGCGTCGAAGACAATTCAATGTTTCAGAAATATAAGGAACAATTTAAAAAACAAATGAGTTTTACTGGCATTATTTATAGGTAGGTACTTAAGTATCTTATTACTTAAAGTAATATATAGATAGGCACTTGTAAGCCATGGACCTATTTTTGTTTTTGTACATTAATAATAAATGTATTACCTATTAGTGACGCTCATATATTAGCTTCAACATTGCCATACTTTCACATCAGCGAAGATCTACGCATGTTTTCACCAGAGGGTGTTCATCTCATAGTATGTGTCCATGGACTGGATGGTAATTCAGCTGATTTGCGTTTAGTCAAGACATATATCAAATTAGGTTTGCCTGGTGCTCATCTTGAGTTTCTCATGTCTGAAAGAAACCAAGTAATTTATTTTAAACAAATCAATTGTAATTATTTAAATTAAAACGTGGTTGTGGATTTTAGGGCGATACATTTTCGGACTTTGAACGCATGACTGATCGTTTAGTGAACGAGATTCTTAGCCACATATCTTCGTTCCAACTACCACATTATCCATCTAGGATAAGCTTCGTTGGTCATTCCCTAGGAACGATCATCATTAGAGCAGCAATTGCTCGACCTCAAATGAAACATTTACTACCAAAAATGCATACATTTTTGTCACTTTCGGGACCTCATTTAGGAACCTTATACAATACTAGTGGATTAGTGAATATGGGTAGGTAAATGATATTATTCATTAAGTATAATTTCAATAAATATATACTTATAGTTATATTATGCTATAATTTTATAATTCACATAGATATAGGTAGTATAGTTGTCATTTACATAATATACCTATTTAAGAATACAATGATATTTGAAAGAGTAACCATACTATGAGGATAATTTGTTTTTTTTATAGGTTTATGGTTCATGCAAAAAGTTAAAAAAAGTGGTACTTTACTTCAGCTATCTTTGAAAGACGCTGCAGACATTCGACAAACGTTCCTTTATCAACTAGCTCAAAATTGTCATTTAAGTTATTTTAAGCATGTTCTATTGTTTGGTTCATCTCAAGATAGATATGTTCCACCTCATTCAGCAAGAATTGAGCTCTGCAAAGCCGCTATTAAAGATACATCACCCATTGGTGAACATAAACCTAATATATTAATAGCAAATAAATAATTGTAAAATATTTTATGGTTATTACTAATTTGTGTGTTTTGACATTATAGGATTAGCATATCGAGAAATGGTGAACAATATTTTATGTCCAATAATCAACAAACTGGATGTTACATTCATCCGTTACGATGTACATCATGCATTACCTAACACCGCAAACTCATTAATAGGAAGAGCAGCTCATATAGCAGTATTAGATTCAGATTTATTCATTGAAAAATTTTTAGTGGTAACTGGGCTTAAATATTTTAGGTAGATGTAACAAATATTTTGTACAATATTTTATGGTTTTATGGTCTTGCAAACTGAATTGTAACGCAAGCACTCGCAGTATTATTATTTTATCGAGCTTACAATTATCAAGTCTAATAATTACTAAGTTTTAATACTTTTTATGAATTTGCCAAAATGATTAAGTCAAACAAAATATTTATAAAAATAAAATAATGATACTAAAGAAATAAAAAATATTTGAAATTTTTTTTAAGTAATATAGTTACGTACATTATCAGGGTTTATATTAATACCTGTATAGGCTATATTATACATTTATCATATTATAATATTATAATAAAAACATTTCTTTCTTTACTTTCAACTAAAATAATTTATTAAATTTAAATTTAACATATTTTACAGCAAAGAGGTCTTAGATGATTTATATTGTCTCTGTAAAGTAAGTAGTATTCATCAACACAATTATATAGAGCAAATTAAATACAAACTAATAGCTTAACATTTTAAACCAAAGTGTATTACAAAAATATTCAAACAGTTTGTCAGTTGAATTTCCATTATAATTCTGCTGAATCATCAAATGCAACCCAAACATGTTGTTGGTAAATTCATAAAATATGCTTTTAATTATTAAATTATTAAATAATTAGTTTCAAGTTAGATAATCTCAATATCCGACCAAAATATGCATCTTATTAATATAAATAAAATATAATACCATTTCAATTGCCAAGGAATACACAGAAATGTTCAAAATATGTTTAGAATGAATATTTTAATTATTGGTATCTACAGGAGAAAACTGTAATATTCCATCTTTATTACATTAAGTCTTGCTTAAGTTAATGCTCAAACTTACATCATTGTTATTAAAATAAATAAAATGTACATTGATACAATAATGTTTAAGAAGTATAAAAACACAAGGGTCAATTAAACTCAACATTAATTAAAATATAAATATTTTAATTGATTATAAACTTTCAAATTACATTGTAAATTGTTTTTATTTTATTATTATAATTGAATTGTTAAGTAATTTTATAAAAATAAAGAATGGAAACACAAACTTCAATATATTGTATATTATGTATATTTCAGTTAAGTTAAATATAATAACATTATATCAGTTTAAATTGTTGATATGAATATTCAAAAATATTACCTTAAAGTGTTACACAATTATTTATTATAAATCTGTGCAGTATGACAATACCACAAACTGAGGGGTCAATAATATTCATAATTTTTCAAAGTCCATTGACAAAATTATAACTTATAAGTAAAGACCGGATTTAATTGATATTGCAACTTTTTTTGTAGTTAAGATAAATCAAATCTGATCAAATATGTACACGATTTGTATTAATTACTGTCTTTCTGTTTAATTTTATGTTGCAATTTATTGCAATTTTTAATGTTTTTGCAATTTTTTTCAATTTTGTATATTACACGTAATCAAATGTACAAATCAATATTTCTTAACTAATTTTATAATATAAAAATAATAACATTATTGTGGATTTTTATTATTGGTTTGATTAATATGATCTTAGAAGTATAAAGGAGTATTATCTATGTTATTTTAATTTTGAAAAGTTTAAAAACGTGATTAAAGTTTAACAGATGATGCTTTAAGTGTCGAAAAGCTGAAACTGCTTGTACAAGATAATGCAGTCAAATGTGGTTTAGCATTCATAAAATTACACTTATCTGAGTTATGCACGAATCTCAAAAATTTGGAAGAATCTAATAGTGAACTACTGAAAAGTATGGATATTTTTAGAAAAATTGAAGATATTTTAACAAATATTCCTGGTCCAGAAGGGGAAAAAATTAAGGAAAAATGTATGTATGTAATTGAAAAAAAAGAAGGGTATAAAACTTTAAAGTGTTACTATGAAGTCATGTCAGGTAAAGCAAATGTTAATTTAGATATAACGCCTACTTTATTAAATTGTTTTAAATATGCACCAATAACGAGTGTTGACGTAGAACGTAGTTTCTCGTTGTACAAACATATTTTAACTAATAGAAGATTTAATTTTAATGAAAATAATTTAGAAATGTATTTAATCATCAATTTTAATTCAAAAATGTAAAATTAATATTAAATGTAATTAATGTAATATTAATTAATGAATATATAAACACGACTTGCATTTTTATAGTGCAATTTATTTTGCAATTTTTATGGGATTTTTGGTGCAATTATACAATTTTATGATGCAATTTTTGAGTGTTTTTAATGCAATTAAATCCGGTCTTTACTTATAAGTTATGATTACAGGGGCTCCCTCACTGTGAAATTATACTGTATAATGTATATATGGCACATATTTGTGCAGTGTTTAAATAAAATAACAATAAAGACTATTACACATGAATTATTCTCAAATACTATCAACTTTAATTAATTTAAATAAAATGTTTATTACAAAACTGTTAGGCACAATATAAGTATTTTAAAATTTAGTCTTGAGCGGTTACTTCTAGCAAAAATTTTTGTAGTTGGACGTGCTGAGCCAGGATTGAACATGTTATAAATTCAGGTAAATAAACAACTAAAAAAAGTAATTTTAATTCATTAGTTTTTACAAAAGATAAACTTTGTTTAAATTATCATACCATTAGAAATACCCAACAAGTCATTGTACAAATAGTGATCTTCTGGACATGAGATAATAAAATAGGAATTGGGTGCTGAACCTCGGATTGACTCCAAAGACCTTCTAGTTCTTTCTATAGTACCACCAGCAGAAGCAATGATTTGCTCCAAGCAATGAGAAGGTGGATATTTAATTCCAGGAGTAACAAAGAACGAAAAGTACCTAAATAGTAGACGACGCATTTTGTTTTCGAGAATTGCAGGTATATAACATAACCCCAAAAATTGATCTTGTATATTTTCTATAATATATTCTTTCTCATCTGAAAATGAAGTTTGATTATCAACATTGATAAAAACATAAAAATTTGAAATTTTAACACAAATTATATATAAAACATTTATTAGTCATAACCAGGGCTTGGAACTTTATACACTTAATAATAAAATAGTATACACTCCAAAATAATTCAAATTTTGAAGTATAGCGGTCAAACATTTCACCCGCGACCATCAAAATGGTCGATAATGAGTCCATAATTTTATAATATTATTGATGAAGGGCTCTCACTATAATATGTATAACTACAGTAGTTATAATATATACTAAACATTTTTTTCCTACGTAAGTATCTTTTATTTTGTTTTAGAATAATAATTTCTGAATAAAAAGTAACAAATAATATTAATTACTTGAAAACTATAGTAGGATACTGGTAGTGTCTAATTAAATTACCTCACAAAGCTACCAGCTTATCCAAATATGACAAATTCAAGGAATACTTAAAACAGTTAAAACTAGCGACTCTTTATAAAAAGCTTTATATTTGCTGAAGTTAGAAATGTTAAAAAGTTTACTACTAATGTATTAATTGTAAATATTAAAAATAAAATTTTACCTTGGAGTTTTAAATTGGAATGTGAATCTTTTAACCAATTTTCATTGAGAATATATTTGACAGTTGAAAGACAACCAAAAAACTCTTTCGATGTTACAGGTTTGTCCATGATTAAATGAGTTGCCTCAAAACAGTGGGTGGCTACTACACCCCCAAATAGAAGTAATATCTAAATATAAAAACATATTTAATACTATACAAAAAAAAAATTAGATGACAAAATACCATTTTAAGTATTTCTTTATCGTTCGTTGAAAAACCACAAAACATCACACATGGTTTTGATGGTAAGTTTTTTATATAAGTAATTATAACATCATTGTCATCAATGTCATCATTAATTAAATCTATCATTTCTTGGGTTTCAGTTATTGTTTTTTGTCTTTTACATTTCGTAGGACTATCTGGATTTAAAGTCAAATCGTACACTTGTTGATTTTCACAAAAAGTCAATGGAGTTTTCCAAGCCTCTAGAAATTTTTTTTTAATATTAATTAAAATGTAGTTATTATTAAGAAGAAGTCACACCCGTGTGCTGTCCCTATATTATTTTGTTTTAATACAATTATAAGCATAAACAATAGCGAATTTAAGTTGTTAGCTTAAATATTAGAGTGAATTGACCTATTATCCAACTTGAAGATAAACATATGTGTTTGTAAGGCAGTTTTTTTACAACATTTTGATTAGTTTAAATGGTGAGTTAATAACATTTTTAACCATCATAAAATATATATCATCAAATCAAACAAACAAACAAACACACATACAATTTTTAAAATTAGGTAAAGCTAACAACATACAATTGGTGTGAATGCAAAAGGAAAATGCTGTACATAAGAGAGAGACAACACATTTCGGTGTGAAGTCCACTTAACCTATTACAATATATTAATTATGAATTATGGATTTTGAACATTGAGTAGGCAATAAAAAAACAATAAGTTAATTGGCAAACAATGAACAAGATACATACAAGTGTAATTAATTAATACCATACCCATTAAATGTGATACCATTTCATAATTCACTAATAATGGATTACATAAATCAAATTGTTGGTATTTTAAATTTCCAGGTTCTTTTATACCAAGTTTTGCTCCAAAAAGTATATCGTTCAACCATTGAACATTTACCACTGGTTTATTAATTGCTAAAGCTTTTTTTACAAGTTCACCTTCTAATCTACATTTAAAAATATAAGTACATTAAATTATTGAACAGTTAATTGTTTGGTAGAAATCATATTATTTAAATAACAAAAATGAGTAAAATAATGAAAACTAAAAAAACTATTACTTTTAACAAAAAAAATAAACATTTACATAAACTCAAGAAAATTGTATGTATACAGGGGTGTAACAGGAATACCTGACAAATGAAATAACTTATGTTCAAATCAATATTTTTTTTTTATATATTATTTACAGACGCTTGCACTACATGTATAGTATAACACTTTTTATTTTAATTTTTAATACTGAATATACCGAAATAAATTTTAAATAAGCAATGTAACTTCTACATAAAAGAAGAATTTTTCTAAGAAAAATATTGACTGTACAAACATTTTAAATTCAAAAAGTATAAACTCTTTTAAAATATTCTTTTTTATAAGTTATTACTTTCAAATTCATGTGTTGCTTAAAAAAAATTTGACATTTACAAAAATCATAAAATATAAACTTGACTAAACTGCTTAGATAAATGTTTTTACAATACAAAGTTTTCTAAAAACCAGATTTACAAATTGGCTATTTTGAAACTTAAATTTTGAGTGTTAAAAAATAAAAATAAAAAATGTTACGATTTACGTAAAAAGCAAAAGTGTCAAAAAGTATAGTATATATATAAAATTTTTTTTTAAATATTGACTAGAACAAATTATTTCATTTGTCGTGTCTTTCTGTTACACTCTGTATACTTTTAGATTTTAATATTTTCTCAGAAAACGATCAATAAATAAATTCTAAATTATTATTATAATCTAACCACATTGGTTCTTTTCTAATATTAAACATAACGGAGTTCAATTAATTATCCAGAACGTACAATTTGCTATGTTATGTGTTTGTAAAACTGACACAAAGCATGTGAGTATAATCCGAGTCCTCTGAGTTCTCAAAATTGTTTGAGTATTCAAAAGTTTTAAGCCTGCAGAGAACTTTCTTTTAGTTGGTGTTATTGAAGTCTTAGATATTTATATTTTATAAATTAATTCAGAATGAAACTATCGAGCACTTGTATTTATACATATAACAAAAATGTAATGATCTATTAACTGTTAAAGGACGTTTTACTGTATAATAATATATTATCATTATTAAGTAGATTGATATTTATTTTATTGGTAATGTCTTACTTCAAACTAACTACAATATCAGTTCTGCTAGTAATTTCTGTAGCAAGGCCACCGCCAACTAGTTCAATCATTGCTTTAATTATATGATGTTCATTTGTACCAAAATTAACAATTGCAAATTGAAATTGTAGACATGGCAAATTTTCCATACTAAAAAAAATAATAATAAAAACAATTTTAATTATTTAAGTTTTCTAGATTCTTCTTAAACTTATAAATATTTCTATTTTATCTTTAATAAAAATGATAAAATTATGAAAATCTATGAAATAAGTTAAGGAAATATAAACAAATAATATTTATTACATATTTGATAGTATTAATTATAATTGGTTAGAGAAAAAAAAGAAAGACCATGGCACTACTTATGTAACTATGACAACAAAAACCTTATGAAAAATCAATCAAAAACATTTTATCGTGTATCTGGTCTAAAAACACCAAAACTGAAAATGCTCACAAATACCATTTTTTCAATTGAGAAAACTTTAGATTTAACTTTGAGTTTTTACTGTAACATATATATTACTATAATAATAGGTAATATGTACATTAAATTCTTTTTACCTGTACGGTATGGGAAAATGAATAGCTAACCAAGGTGGTATCATACATTTTTTAGCAAAAATATCGCTGAGCCAGTAATCAGTCACACATCTTTTACCATCATTTAAACCCTGAAAAAAGTATAAGGAAAAAATGAAGTTATCAATTATTATAGGTTTATATTAAAAATCTATATTATTTTTACTAGTTCAACTAAATGATGTTTTTGAGTGATACAAATGACATGTGTAACACGAACAGAATAAGACTGTTCAACTGATCCACCATATTTAATAATATTTTCCTTGGATATAGTTGTGTTATTGCACATATTATTATCTTCCTGCTGAATTTGAACTTCAACAAATAAAAATACACATCCTAATAGAAATTGTTTGGTAGACACTATGAATCAAAAAATAAATTGTATTAATTACATATTAAATATAAAACTAGGTGTTTAAAAAATTTGTATATATTTTATTATGAACATATGTGGTGGCTGGTTTTTAACTGATGCAATTGCGCCTAAAATTGCGGCCAAATCCTAGAAATGCATTAGGGACAATTAAGTATGTGATATTAAATATTATGTTTATGCTATATTTTTTTACTACTTGTGCCAGGATTTGAAATTTTGTCACCATGCTACTGAACATACACAGTGGTGAAGTATCATTTGAAAGAGACAATGATCAAATTTCTATACTATTGTTATATATGTTATAATAGTTAAGTTTATGTTAATATAATGGAATTGCTCACAAAAAATGTTATGTTTTTGTTTGTAATATTATAATAATAATAACTTTATTGCAACAATAACATATTAAAACAAAATAATAAAATATAGGTAAGTACATAAAATATAACTTTATAAATGTATGAAATATAGTGAAATTTGATTTAATGACACCGTTATATAATAGACATCTCTCTCTACGAACAAAATTTTAAATTCCCGATAAAAAGATAGGTATTTTAGTGTATTAAAACTTGTATATAATAGACACAGACATATTTCTCCCCTATATCTCGATATCCGACAAAAATTGTAGTTCACACTCAAATATAATTACATAAGCATGTACATACTAAACCAGTGTCACCAATTGCAACAATGAGGCACGCTATACATGTCAAGGCACAATTGCATTAAGAACATAGGTATTCCTATATCACCCATAACAATAACATTTTTGCATACATTTGATATTTATAATTATGTATGACGTATGTTTCCTTTTCTATGGTCTTGTGACTGTCTGTTATATACAGGTTTCTATATTATATTATTATTTGTGTACTGAGATTTATTACTGATGATGATGTACATTTTACTAAGGTAGCCGTAATTAGTAGGTTAATTCTTAGTAGGCGTAATTCTTCTTTTTGGTTTGAATTTTTCTACCCAATAAGGTTATTAAGACTTAAGTTATTAACACTTCACATCAAGTATAATATTTTGTGGTTATTTTAAACTTACACTATATTTTTATTACTGAAAATAAATTTTAACCAGGAAATGATTATTTAATAACTTACGTTGTAACTGAGGATCATGTCCATAATATTCGTTTTTAGTTTGATTTTGAAGTGATATTGCATTTTTGTTTTCCACATTCACCTGGAAATATAGACACATAAATAACTTTAAATATTTTACCACATACCTATTTTAATTAAATATGATATCATTTTTTATAAGAATAATGTAAACAATGTTTATGTTTAAAATTAAATATATTAATAAAACATTTAAGATATATCATACACTGCGTGACTAAAGTTAAAGATAACATTAAATCTTTTAACTGGATGTCATTTAGTTTGCAATATAAATGTTGAAGAAATTAGATATTTGTAACCATGACAAAGGTTAGGTGAATCAGCAACATTGTGATAAACTTATCACCACGCTTTACTGTATGTTATGTTATCCACCTTGTACTGATCGCATGAAGATAAGAGCTAACACATAGGAAAAAGTGGAGATGAACAAGTAAGATTCAGATGTGTATTGCCGATGATATACCTCTATATTTTGTCATGTTTATAAAACAGCGGCCGCTCGAGGTGTTAAAAGTAGATGGTGTACAATATAATAATTAACGATCATTAACTTTTAAGTAATAAGTTCTTACTGTTTTAAATTAATATATCATATCTTTCAGAGAACATCCGTTAAGTAAATTTATTTGAAATAATTTTCAATGGCAAAATGACAAATATATTATCAACATTTTTATTTTGTAACTTTTATTAAATATAAATCCATCATTAGTTTTTCCAGTGTTTTAATTAAATTTTTTTTGTAATTTGTATCGAGGTAAAATTTCCTTTTCAAAAGATTTTCAATTGAAATCCAGAATTAATTATGACATGTAAAATAAATGTACATCAACAATTCAAAATGTGGAAATCAGAAAAGGCATGTGCACCACTCGTATTATAATGAGTTAGGTGCCAATGGACTTTTTAAAGTCCAAAGGTGCCACTAATAAAAAAGGTTGAGAACCATTGCATAAGATAAAAGACAAAAAACCGTATACTAACGAAAGAAATATTAATTACCTTTGATGTACTCGGTTGTTCAATACTTGTATTCTCTATATTATGACATCTGCTTTGAAAGTACGCTTTTTCTGATTTTAAATCAGCTATTTCAAATTTTAATTTACTAATTGATAAATAAAATAAAATTAGTATTAATATCCAACCTCAATTAACACAATACATTACTCAATATAAGATGAATTTGAAGATTGTAAATCGTAAAGTTCGTGGTTTAGTGATTTGATTTTTGATTGTAGAAGCACATATCCTGCTTGGAATTTCTTTCTATCAAGTTCTGATGCATTGAATTGTCTAAAAATGCAATTAAAAATAATTGAAAAACTGAAGTATCATAGAACTTGTAAAAAAAATATTTCACAAATATTATGCTATGATTACTTACACAGTCATTAATTTTAGTTCAGCAGATATTTCAGAATTTCGTTTTTTTTGATTTTCAGCTTCACTTTTAAATAATTTAACAGATCTATTGCTAATGTCTAAAGCACTCTTTGAATGTTTTAGTTGAGTTTCAAGACAGTAAATTGATTTAGAATTGCGGGTTTCTTTCTCTTTTAAACTTTTTAATTGCTCCCTAAAAATTAAATTGAAGTATAAGCAGAAATTACTTTTAAATAAACTTTGATACTTAATAGTAATACATATAGATCATAAATAATTTAAATTTAAATATTCTTCTTAGTTCTGTTGATTTGTCCGATATCTGCATAAATAAATATCACTCCAATTTTGAGAAATAAGGGAAAACTTAGTTGGAATCAAGCGATTCCATTATAAGGTTTTACTTTAGTTCGACTTAACTAAATAAATCCATTTGTTTTTCTTTTATATTCTAGATTAACTATTAGAAAAAAACCTTTTATGGACAAAATTATTAATCAAGTAACAAGACTTCTTCTTCTTCTGGCTTTATCTACTCTATAAGAGTTTTTTCCGCTATCACAACTTCACGTCACTTGTCTCGATCATGAATTATATTTCCCCAATCATTTCCTCCTACCCTTTTAAAATCTTCCTCAACCACATCTATCTATCTCTTCTTCGGGCGTCCTTGTAGTCTCTTACTCGTTGGTTTCCAAGACAGTACTGTCTTTATTATTTTATCGTAACTTCCACGCATAATGTGCCCACACCACTGGATTCCCTGGCTTCTTATGTAATATTTAATTGAAGTAATTCCTGTTTCTTCAATTAGTTCTTTGTTATACTTTCTCCTTCACATGACAGTGTTAACGTCTAATTTAGGTCCACACTTCTTGTTTTTGAAGGTGGTAAGTCTTTGTTCTGTTACGCTTGTAGTCGTCCATGCTTCGCATCTATATGTTGATACAGCTCTCACTACCACTGTGTAGAGTATAACTTTTGTTTCTTTGAAAACATTTTAGATATGAAAAATGTAGATAATGCAAAGGACGCCCTCCCTGCTTTTATCATCTTTATTCCAATCTCATGTGACCAGTCATTTTGTATTTATACATACACCTAGGTATTTGAATTCATTAACTTTTTCATAAATCCAGTCATCCGGGTCAGGGTTCATTAGATCTATGTCAGTATCTATTAGCTCCATGACCTTTGCCTTTTCCACGTTCAATTTTAGTCCTATTCTATCTGCTGATTTTTCTAGAACTTTTAATAGGTACTTTCTTTGTATCATCTATGGTATTGCCTACAATGTTGAGATCATCAGCAAAATCAAGGATTTGAATTTTTCGCCGGTTCATTTTTACACCCGTTGTTCTTTTTCCATCTCTCTGACCGCCTTCTCTAGAACTAGATTAAATAATATTGGAGATAGCGCATCCTCTTGTTGTAGCCCTGTTTCCACTGAATTTTGATATTGCGTTCCTTCCATTCACATCCTGGTTAGGTTCATTAGCTTCTTCGGTACTCCAAATTCAGTCATTATGTCATATAAGCTCTCTCGATGAATGCTATTATAGGCTTTTATAAAGTTTATAAATATTTGCCAGAAGTTTTGTCGAAATTCATATTTATTTTCTATAATCTGACATATAACTACAATTTGTTCAATAATTGATCTTCCCCTCTTAAGACCACAGGTTTTGGTTGAGGAACTATATTCTTTGATACCGTGGGTAAACTGAATTTTTCTGATATTGTTAAATTATTTTCTTTCGTGTGAACATGGACTTTTGCATAATATTTTTGTGCCACTCATCAGTTTTATTTAATTCATATTTTCTTTTTATCTACTGGCTAGTTTAGAAAATACTACTTTTTCTCCGACTTTCTTTTTATTTACGTTGTTATTATGATCTAGTATAACAATGGTACTTCTCATATACATACCTTTGTATTTTAAGTGAAAAAGTTTTGGCATAAATTTTAATATACATTTAATCATACATGTTTGTGCTGACCACCAAACACGATTGTTAATTGACGATTTCCATAAAAAAAATTAATTCAGTCTTATATTTTGAATGTTTGAATGCACCATACAAACATATTGCATCTTGTAAAATTTACGGCGGCATAAATCCGGGAGCACCAGTGACATCACGCGTATACATTTGATCGCTATTTAACACAGAAGGAGTGATCGGATCGTTTTTTTGAAAAGACGAACAATTTAGTTTTCATTTCTAATACTAAACTAAGGTATTAGTATGTTATTGTAATCACATTGTTACTTCTGTACATCTTAAAATTACCAATTGTTAATATTATCCTTAGTACTTATAAAAATATGTTTAATTATCACGTTAATCCGTTAAACTATTATGTAAACTGTCAAATATCCCAAGATATAGATAGCCTTAGGCTAGGAATGTCTTAAGTTTAAAATAAAAAATAAAAAACTAAGGTATAAAAAAAAAAATTATTTTTTTTTGTTTCATGATCCTTTAACTTTATCACTGGATTCCATAAAGATATCTCCATTACTAACCTTTATTGTCTTTAAGATTGGGTTAAAATCTTTATACTATCCAATAGTCTTGAAGAAGTTTCTAATTTTTCTTTACGAGTGATCCTTCTTGGCATCCTCCAAAATCTCATTAATGAACTTCCTTTTTTCCCTGTTATATTCTCTTACAGTTTTTCCTTTCAATTAGAAAAATGTCCTTTGCACCCTGATTCCCAGATCTTATAAAATCTGCTCTTGCTATATGTTTTTTCTACGGCTTCTCTGCATAATTCATTATACTATTTCCTTTTCTTATTTCCATTTTGTACTCCACCAATGTTTAGTTCTGCTGTTTCTTTTATGACTATCCTAATCTTGTTCTAATCAGTTTCTATATTTCCTGTTCTACTGTCTTTAAGATGTATATCAATACTATCTTCATATTTTTTCTAATATTTTAGTTTTTAAATAGGTCTACATTGAATTTCACAATTTTCCTCTCCTTTAAGCTTTTCATGCCTTGCAATTTGATATTAACGGGAAGTAATCTGTGGTGATATCTACTCCTTTGTAGCTTCTGTTTTTTATGCTGGATCGAAACCTATTTTCAAATAATATGATGTCCATCTGGTTGAGCGTATTTCCATACAGAGAATTCATGTAACTTTAGGTATATTTTTGTGGGGGAACGTCATACTTCTCACTACCATGTTATCTGACGCTGCAAAGGAGATGAGTTGTAATCCGTTTCTATTACTTATGGCATGGGGGCTTTTCTTTCCAATTATCGGAACAAGACAGTAGTATAAATTATTTTATGCACTATTTTATTTTAAAATTAATTAAAGGATGATAAAATTCACTTTATTTATAATTCAATATTCCTTATATAGATAAACGTGAGTTCAAATATTAATGATTAAAAATATTTACTTTAATGTATTTATTTCTTCATCAGTTTTTCTATCCCATGATACTCGAGCATTAGGATCAACTTGTAAAAATAATTTGACCAGATTATTTTCTAATACCGATGAACGACAATGAGGGCAAGTTTGTGATCTTTAGACATAAAAATACACATTTTTTAAGCAATAAGTTAATAACAAGTAAAATTAAAATAATATATTATTTTACCTTTTTAACCATGTCATAAGACATTGATAATGAAAGACATGGCCACACTGTGTTGTATAAGTAGAGTTGTGGTGAATTCCAACAAATGTCTCATCACATATTGAACAAGTAAACATTTTTCTAGAAAAAAAATGAATTAATTAGTTAGAATAAAATATATTAATAAGTCTACAAAAAAAAAATGGCTTATGTTTACACAGGCAAGGCGCTGAAACAACACCACATTGATGAAAAGTTTTATTTAAGAAACAAAATCATAACAGATAAAAAGAGCACCCAGAAAATTAACCAAAGCCTAGTAAAAAAAACCAGAATTCAACATCTCTTCTAGATCTCTCTAGAAGAATCTTATTTGTTTTTCCATAAAATGATAATTTGAAAGTAGATTACATCATGCTGATGTAGGCAAGTATAATATATTTATATAGATAATACAACTTAAATTAATTTCTCATCGTAAAACATAACACCAACTTTCAAAGTAGTAATCTATTAAGGTTAGACATACAATTTCTTCTTTAATAATAAAATAAATTAGTTATCGGTTACAACTTGTAAATTCTAATGTAAATCAATTGTCTCTAAATTATTGTCAAGAATGAAGAATATTGTTAAATAAAAATCTTTTGAAAATACATTGAGTGTATGCCAGCATATAAATTGTAGTGTCGAGCAATAAGTGACATACTAAGTACTGGCTATCTAAGTTCATACTTTTAAGAAATGATATAGCATCATTATCGAAAGTCATAAAGTATCAGCCCATACAGATTAAGGGCAGTGTAAGCTGCTTGGCTTGTTTCCGCAGGTTTATACAGCGAGTAGGGACTCCTAGACTTCATAAGAAATGTATCAAAATAATAGGCGGTGCGTAATTTATCTTCACAGGGCCCATGGCTATCCCGAGGTCCATGGCAATGAAAAATTGTTTCAACAATATGTCATGTAAATTTATTTAGGGCCTGTATATTTCATTATGGGGCCCCTTAAAGACCTGATCCGTGGGCTTTGGTATGTTAGGACAACACTGATAAAGTATAAACTAAAGAAGAGAAATAAGCTCAAATCTATTAAAGATGATCTTAAGACCGCGTAAAAATCAGCCGGCAGCAGATAGACCATACACGATAGAGGATGGTAGAACGTATTTGCTGGTAGACCACTTACTAGGACAGCCAAAAAATGATTTGAGCATAATTAAAAATACCAAAAATCAGAATTTGATTAATTCGATTATTGAAGAAATAAAGGGGGGGGAGCATGCTTGAAAAAGATTTGAAGTATATAGAGCAAACTAAAAAGTTACCTTGTAAATAAATATTCTTCTCGACGCCTGTTGTCGTATCAACACATAATTAATATGTTCCTAAAAATTATACTATAATTAACGTTTTTAATTATAATACTAAATAATTACTATATTAATAGTGCAATTTATACTTTGGTTGTACTTACTCGAGTTAATTTAACAACATGAATAGTTTAATGACAGAATTAATAATTTAGAATATGAATTAGGTGGGTATTTTTTGTGGTACCGTTGTGCAAACTAAAAATATAAGGTATTAAGGTAACTAAATACGTAAAACTGTTTACAAGTTCCCCATAAAAAAGATTGATACAATTCACAAAACTATTTTAATAGTTTTCAATAATTAAAAAAAATGTTTAATTGAATTTCAAATTGTACCTTTCATCTTTATTACAAATTATATACTTGACAATTATTATTTAATAGTATGATAACACACTATAGCTACCAGCTACCAGCTTGACGTCTTGACAACTTATGGTAGTATCTCAGAACACAGTTGTATACGGACCATATTCCATAGACTGTGTAGCTTACAGTACTTCAGAATAATTAATTGGCCTCTAAACATAAGTTAGGTTATGTCTTAGAAGATAAAAACGTGGTAACGATAAAAAGAAGATAAGGTGACCCCGCTGCACGAATTCCGGTCGCGAATTTTCTCGGCAGTTTAGTTGTAGCAAATACTATAGATTAATCTATAGTATTTGGTTGTAGTATTCACGGATTAATATATTAATTAGTATATTAATCCGTGGTAGTATCAAAGAACAAACGTAGTACCTAATATGTCTCGTGCAGGTAGAGCCACCATTGGCCTGAAGCCTGGTTTTTATATCATGTACGCATTTCTGTTGTTTTTGAATTGTTGATACTATTACTTAAAAATTAAAAATAGTAGCCAAGTAAGAATTATTCTATTCGGTTAGGTACAATTTAATATTTAAAATAGTTTCAATTTAGGAAGTTTTACTATATTATATATAATAACTACATTATGTATTTATGTTACACGTCGTCAGTTTAGACTACAGTCTAAGCATGCTTAACTAAATTTTTTTGTTTATAATTTTTTCTCTAGTGGCGTGGTCTGCATTACATACAAAATTAATTCTAGATTGAAAATAAAATGTAATAATATTTTTAGTTATTGCATTTGCACGTTTATCACACCCGAGTTAGTCAATATTAAATTGTTCTGTTCTTATAATATGATCTAAAATTAAAAATAATAAATGACTTCAAACTCTTCATAATAATTTATATATATATATATATAATACTATTGGCCTAGTGTAATACACAAACAAAATCTATTTCACTTGAGAGTTAAGACAACAATTTATCGGGTTGCTACAACTACCTCGAGAATCATCTGCTGCGAAATAATATTAATAATCATTGGTGGTCAAACGGGGGGTGGGGGGGATAGATCTCCCCATGACTTTTTTTCTTTAATATTTATAACGATTACATTTATGTATATTGTACTATAATGTTAATGTATTACATTTTGTTTTAATTTTTTCTCAAAATAACCTTATGACTTATGCGCATATATTATTATTATATAGATTCTAGACTCATTCTAGGAACAAGGCTATTATTATTATTAATATTTATTAATTAGTCGCTTATACAAAATACACGGGAATTACCCAGCTCGGTGATCGTGGATATTTAATAACAACACACTCCTCCCTTGACCAGCCCATCGGTCGAAACGTATTAATACGTTATGTATAAATAACTATGTTATTATAGTCGGCCAATTCATCGATTATTATTACATTTGTCACAATATTTTGTTACACAGACCACAGTGTTTTGGCTTTCGGAGTTTCGTAATTCGTACTCGTTACTCGGCCACTCGGGTCTCGTAAGTCATACTGTGTCGCGCTTTATACTTACTGTCTGCAAGTCTGCTGTAATTGTAAATTGTAATAGATATTGTCTATAGTCTATTTTATAATGTCTAATAAAATTTTCTTTTTACATCTAAGATTTTGAAATTAAATATAAGGTTCTTTATAAGTTTGTCTACCTTTACCGAAAAAAATTCTACCGGAAAGTCAAATTAAATTTTCATGAGCGTTGGAAGTTGGAATTTTTACAACATAGGATATTCACTCCATTATTATTTCTCCTACAGTGATTTTCTTATTTTGTTGTTATTTAAAAACGAATAACTGGAGATACTTGAAATTTATAAAATATGTTTATACTGTCAATTCATATACTTGATCAATGTATTTTGAGTTGTTTATGGATATTTCCAATTTTCATTTTATTAAGTTTTTTTTCTGTGATTGTCAATAAAATTGTATTTGTTGGGTCAAAAAGCTTGAAAATTGAATACAAGGTGAAGTATATATTTACTATATCAGTTGAAAAATATTAAAAATACATAGGCATGATTTTTTTTTAAGCATTTTGAGTTCAAATTTTGACAAAATTCATATAACTCAAAATTTACAAATAACTTTATAGCTCGTGATTTTTTAATATCTGCGCCACCTAATTATGTCAACAATATTTTTCGTGAATTTATTCACAACTCTTTTCTAATTTGTATTCTAATTTTCACGAACGGCTCTACCCTCCACTTTTAGCTGGGTATATTCATTCTATATACCGGAATTTCACATCTCTTTTTCTAATAACCTTCCACCTACTACATCATCTTTCATAGCTGAATGCTTTGCCAAAATTTAAGCTCTCAACATAACGTATATCTTCGATCTTCCTTACCACTAAATTAATATCTCATCGCCACTGACTCACTTTCCAGTCTTCAAGCTCTCTCTTAGTCTCTTCTACGCCATTAACTCATATCTTCTCTCGCCGATAATCACTATCAGGCTAATTTTATTTGCCATTTTATGTTATTTCTTAACGAGAGCAGGCATGGACATTCAATTAATATGAGTGCCAGGACATACTGTCATCGCAGGCAATAAATACGCTGACAAATTAGCTAATACCTCGGCGTCTCTCGGGTGCCCTCCGAGTTCAAAAATTCCATGGTCTGACTTAATCCCCAATCTTAGGATTTGCACAAACAACCTATGGCTTAAACACTGGGAATCACTTCCTCCTCACTTCACCACCTGGTACAGAAATATATCTCCAACCATCTCACCTCTACCCAGTGGTCGAAATGGCTCAAGATAAGTGGAGGGATGCCTTGTAAGGCTTTCAGATTTAGGCCTATACGAAAAATAAAAAGTTTTCTTATACATAGGTATAAATATAAAAATCATAATAATTATTTTATTTTAAAACACAAGTCTTAGGAGGAATGCGTTATTCTAGACAAAATAAGTAGAGGGATGAACAATGCAAATACAAAAAAGTAGAGGGATGTCATCCCTCGTATCCCCCCCCCCACTTCGACCACTGCCCCTACCCTGGTTTTACAATATCATCTCAATCTCTCCAGGAAAAGTATAGTGTCGTTCTTCCGTGTCCCTTTCGCCGCATTCTACTCCATTCTCATTCCTTCAAACTTTCATTAAACGATTCTCCCCTCTGTACACTCCATAATGACCCATTGGTTTGTGACATAACCTACCTCATCTCAAACTGCCCTAGTCTATCACTCCAACGTAACCACCTATTATCCCTTTTCAACGCCTCCAACATCCATTTCAACACCAAAAATATCCTCTCTTGTCAGCAAAAAAATATCACTGATAATATACAATTTTTTTTAACCATGCAGGCTTTTTTATTAAATTTTTTGTAAATAACATATCTCATTACTCATGTTTTGATCTTGCTTGTTAATACTTAACTGTTGAAACTAATAGTATATAACAAAGTTTAAATAAAAAAAATAAAAGCTCTTATAGATTAAGTAAGAAATGAAAACATAAAACAAACTTCCACTCAAGTAAGTTATTTTCCGTCCAAAAACTCTAAAAATATATTAGCACGGTTTTTTTTTTAGTTTTTTTTCTGTTCGTCAAATATACTAAATTACCAAGTAATATTAAAGACTGTCTTCGCTCAGAAACATTTTTTGTATATAGTGATTTTCTGTCATTGAATTCAAATTTAACAACATCCATTACATGCAATGACCCACTTATAACCTACTGCGACATCCACTTACCCACTTTTTTTTAAACATCGACCTGCAAGTTATTTGTGGGAAACCTCCAATTAAACATTCGTTAATAAACTAATTATTGCAAGTAACACTTTGAATTAAAGGATCTGAGGACAATACACTGTCAGCAGCTCATATTAGCTCTGTATATTTTTATTTTGTTTCTTAAAATGTATTTTCTTGAGGGTGCCAACATTCCCTTTTCATTTTTTTCACAAATTTAACTCAAGTTGATTTTTTTGTATACATTTTTTAAACATTGACACGTTCTATCTCGAGGTGACTTCTGCATTCTTTTATAATCTAATTATTGTGAATAATGAATAGGTGTTTTAGTTGTATGAATCTGGGGATCATAGACTGCAATCTTCAACGTATTTATGTCCCTGATTTTTAATATTTAAGAGGACGTGATACCTGCATGTGTTGTCTTTGTCTTACAAGTGCGTAACATAGCAAATTTTACGCCCAGCAGAACACGCGTAGCTCCGTAAGTTTAAAAATTAGTGCGAATTCACCTCTTATAAAATCTGAAGGTAAGATTATTATCTAGGCAACCTCATAGGTTTTTTATTATATTTTAATTTTAACGCGAGTTAAGAGTATTTTAAAATTTAAAATTTTTTATATATCTTAAAATACTTATAACTCGCGTTAAAATAAAAATATAATAAAAAGCCTATGAGATTGCCTAGATAACAATCTTACCTTTAGATTTTAAAAGAGGTCAATTCACTTTAATTTTTAAATTAACGGAGCTATATGTGTTCTGCCGAGTGTACAATTTGCTATGTTACGCACTTGTAAGACGGAAACAACACATGCGGGTATCACGTCCACTTAAGTGATTTCAGATTCTGAGCGGAGCGATGATTATATTGATTTTCCAAAAATGTCTGCGCTTTTTTTTTGGTGTCTATTCATCACCTTTTGAGGCAGTAAAAATGCTTCAATTATAGTGTTGCAAATTTTCCAATTTCCCAATGGAATTTAAACAAAAATAAAATTTGTGGATATTATGATGTTTATTCACAATGGTGGTAATTAAACAAACTAATTATGACTAGGTATCACATTATTCACTTTTTAAGATAAACATTAAATTTATATTATGTATTTTTTACGTATTATACAGGTATGATTTTAAGGGTTTTTTCAGAGATAGCCGGTAAATGTAAAAAAATTGTATGATATATTATGACTAGTAAATTTAGATGATTAAATTACATATTATCTATTCTATATTTCGATTAATGGTTGTTTTATTCAACTGGTTATCTAACCTCATGAGTTATTGCTTATTGTACTATTTATGTAGTAGCTTAAATATTAAACAAGTACCAGAATGAATAAAAGTTGTATAAACACTAAATAGCCTCAGACCATGGCAAACCTGGCAGTGTGCATGTCTATACCTCTAATAATATCCTGTATGAAGTCAATAATTGCTCTACTTTATTCACCATTGAGCAAGACAAGTATAGTTGGAAAAACCTCTTATATTATGGCAATATTAAAAGGTGTATATTTTTCTTTTCTTACAACATAGATGTCTGTTTACAATGCAAGTATTCATGTCAGTATGATTGTTAACATATCAATATAAATTATAATACATTATAATATGTAAATTTTTACTTATTTGTCATCTATTTGAATTTTAATGTGTGAACATATAATAACAGTAACAGTTTTCCATATTCTAAAGTGAATGTTTACAATACATATTATTATACTTATATAATATTTTAAATATTTGTTAACATGTGATTAGTTTAGAATTTATCATTTAGTAACACTAACAGAATAAATGAAATCCATAATTATAATTTATAATTATATCTATTTATACTCCGCGTCACGAGAGAAGGTAGTGGTTTAGTTATTTGTGTGCCTCTGATATGAATTTGCTTCAAGTCTAAGTATATGGTTTAACAGACTTCTATAGGTAGATCATACAAAAATTTACATTATATTTATTAACTTTTTACTTCCTAAAATATAACATGTTATAATGAAATAAGTACTTTTTATGTTTTACTAGAATTGTTGCTTTTGGTATAGGTATTCAAATTCTGAAGGTCTATACAATTTAAATTGTTTAAGAGGACACTACCACTCGTATGCAATTTGTTTTCTTTTCAAAAATGCAAAACATGGCAAATTATACGTTTTGAATAATCCATTTAATTCTGCAATTATTAATATTAGAGCTAATTGACCTATTATCAAATCTAGAAGATAATAATAACTATTCTATTATTTATAATGATAATATATATTAAAGTGAATCACAAAGGATTTTTGAACATTTTAATTTTAAAGTGAGTGTAGTATTCACAATATTACAAACAATTTGCAATTTTAAAATACCCATAACTTGCTTTAAGATTGAAGTATAAACCTATAAGGATTCACTAGATAATATTCTTACTTCAAAATTTAATAATAGGTGAATTTGCTCTTATATTAAACATAACAATGTACAATATATTATTCTGAACACATAATTTGCTATGTTATGTGTTTGTAAAGATAGAGACAATGCGTTCTACCTTGTTAATAGAAAACAAATAAAATAAGTATGTAATTGATACCAAAATATTATATTAACTATATTATGTATAAAAAAAAGTTATATTTAAAAATTTAACAGATATTTTAGTATTGAACTCAATTTTAATTACTTCTAATCATTTTATCTAACAATTAGTTTAGAACTTGTTTGATAATTGAATGTTAAGATTTCATAATTAATTTACCGATAAAAATCAACTTGGTCAACTATTGCTCACATTAATGTAATACTATAGCAAGACTATTGGAGAAAGTTATGAAGTCAATCAAGAATAAAATGTGAGGAAATATTTAACTTATTTGTTTTTAGTAGTATACAATTTATTACCAAGCAAATTGTTTTTGTCCAGATATAAATTCTATACACACATAAAAAAAGTTTATTTCATAAGTAAGAATGTATACTGAATGAAGGAATAAGAATATGTATCAATATTTATACTGAAAATATACATAGACATTAACATAATACATGTTTGTCTTCTTCTAAAGTATTTGTAAATAAGCTAGATATTTTATAAGTACAACAAAATACTCAACATTCTGTTGATAAATTAATGAAAAGTAATAATAATAATAATAATAATAATAATAATAATAATTATAAAAATAATATTAGGGTATAATGTGACCATACATATAAGTAGAAACAAATAAAATATATATTTATAACTTAAATTCAAATATTAAATAATAGACTATCTCCACGTTTATATAATGTTGTTTTTTTCATTAATTTATATATATATGTACATATATAAATATAATTATACTCAAGATAATAACTTTGAGACTCTTGTTAGAAACTCAGCCAATGAGTATATTGATAATAGACAGCAATATTTCAGGAAATGTAATAATTTACTATTATTAGCAAGCACAATTATCACCACCCGGGGATCTATTGTCTGTAGAACCGCCATCCAATTTAATTTGATCTGGAAATTCATTATACAGCTCTACATCTGATTCTTGAGCTAATGCATTTCGTGCTATCGTTTTGAAAGCTTGTTCAACATTGAGGGCTTCTTTAGCAGATGTTTCAAAGTATGGTAAACCATTTTTGCTCTGGCACCATTGCTGAGCCCTTTTAGTGGACACCTGTACGTAATAGTTGATATTTAGATCATAAATATAGTTATAATATATTGGAAATAATAAAAACTTACAGCTCGATTATCTAAATCAACTTTGTTGCCTAGGACCACAAAAGGAAAATGATCTGGATCAGATGGTGATGCTTGTATTAAAAACTCATCCCGCCATCCGTCCAGAGATTTAAAAGATCCTGGCGATGTTACATCAAATACTAATACACAACAATCAGCACCGCGATAAAATGCCACTCCTAATGACTGAAAACGTTCTTGACCAGCTGTATCCCATATCTACATAATAACAAAAATAATAGTAATAAATGAAAAGTGTACTTTAAATTGTATTTATATTATAGAGTGAGCGTAGTTTCATTTGAGAAAATGAGAAAACTTATTATACGGCAAGTAATAACTAATATGTAGGTTGGTACCTAAATACAGAAATTAAGGATAATAATGAGGGTTTTGTATTAAAAGAATGACCTATAAATAAATCAATTCAAAAGTTAACATTTTTAATCTGTATTATTAGTTATTACATAATTTTGGCAATTAGTATTGTTTTTCCTGAAAATATATTTTTTTCATATCTTCTTTGAATTCTTGTTATAAATTAATACATTATCTACCTATTACATAATGGGCATACCAATATGATAGTAATACAATTGTGTTTATACATACTGTATTTCAGGTATGTATGATCTTAACATCTAATGTCATAATCATTCATTAAACACAAATCAATCCATAACTAGTTCAATATTTATTATGATAATAAGAAATAAAGTATCTGCATATTATGTACAACAGATGGATTGATTTATGACATAGGTAAATGTATAATACGACTTATAACAATGTAGGTGGTATTTGTTGACCAAAAATTGAAACAAGAGACTGGAAAGTTGTCAAGGAAACGAATCGATCCTCATTTTACAATAGGTATCTATTAAGTCCTACCGTTGCCACTGTGGGCCACCGAAACCATAGTTCAAATTTCATATTATCGTATAAAATTAAAGGAAAAAGACAATAATTCATAATAAAAATAATTATTAGGTATTATCATTTATCGATATCGGATATAAATACAATATAATGTGTTCTAGGCCAAAATCACGATTAAATTGACTATAAGTCGATAGTCGTGGCCGAAACCAAAAATGAATAAAATTACGTCTTATCAATGATAACGACAACGACGACGTAGCCGCCGTTAAGTTGTCGACGTCGCAGTTAAATAGTCAATCTACCGGACGTCCATTGACCTTGGTGGCCGACGCACACAAAGGATACGGACCGGGCCTGCTTGCTCACCTGCATCGTGACGATTCGGTCGTCGACCATCACCTCTTTGGTCAAGAAATCAGCGCCGATGGTTGCCTTGTACTGGTTGGTGAACTTCTTGTTGACGTACTGGTTCATCAGCGACGTCTTACCCACGCTCGAGTCACCCAGTATGATCACTTTCAGCAAAACCTTCTTCCTGGTCGCCATGATCGCGTTGCGATGCGCGTGACCAAAAATAATCAAAGATTATGATAGTATTTGACTGCACGCGCCGATACGACCTGCGGAATTGCGTCAACAGTTAACACCCACACAACAACACACACACTATCGCGAGACCGCGCACAATGATATTCCTCTTTGTTGCGAATAAAAAGAGTAAAAAATGAACAGACAGGCGATAAACACTTGACACTTACTTGCGTCCAACTGAACTTATCGTTATTTATTGTAGGCAGGTGAAACGCAAAAGATTAATACGAAAACAATCGACTGCGTCGCAGTAAACACGATTATGCAATAAACGACAATGTCTGTTCTGTTGTATTTCAATGTGCGTGCGTATTAAATTATGTACATTGTACACATAAATATATTATTATGTTTATGAAGTTCAACGTTTTATGTGCGCGGTGTCCGCGGAGCTGCGCAGTGGAGCGTTATTCCCGTCAACGTCGCTCGTCAAACGTCAGCGACAAACTCATCACTGAGCACTGACCACTTGGCAATCAGCATAGGTATAGTACCTACGCACAAAACTTTTAAATATACAAAATATTATTTACGCAACGTAAAACAAAATATGTAGTTATCTGCGAGCGGGTGGAGGTGGTAGTGCTACTGACTAATGGTTAAAGATTAAGACGGTAGACGGTGTGTTGTAGCACGACTGTAGTGACTTTGTTATGGTGATGACGATCGGCGGGGAGGAGAAGGCCACACCGAGTACCGACGTACGTATTATTATTTTCCACAGAACAGCTGTTCGACGACGATAACAGTGTAACCACGCGCTGGGAAAGTATAGATCGAGCGAAGCAGCTGTTAAAATAATTGATTTTATTTATTGGAAAATATTTTAGCTATGTAGGTGGCCTAAAGGCATTTAGCTAGCTATTTTAGGCTAGAAATTCACTAGGCTAAACCGGTTAACCTTCATTATCCCACACCGAGATAATAAACTAACCGTGTAAATTCATGGGTCTAAATCATGTGGACCAAAAATCCCGGTTCGTTTTTTTCACACCGGTTTAGCCTAGCGAATTTCTAGAGCCTAGTCTATAATACTATAGTGGAGGGTACAGGTACTTTAATGTTCTGACGTTCTGTGCTGTAAACTTTAGTTAATAGACAAAATCGCATAAGCCCTAAAGCATTTGAGATTTGGAGGGGAGTTAAAACCGAACTATAATAAAATTTTAAAAACTTAAAAAAATTTAGGACATGTTTGGAGAGGGGGGGAGCTCAGTCACTAAAGGCTAAGCCCACCTCTATTTGCGCCTATGGCTCTATAGCCATATATTTTCACCAGGGGCGTGCCTGGGGGGTATTCAAAACCTCCCCGAAAAATAAAAATAATTATTAAGTTGGCCATTACAATATAATATACATGTAGAACCTGATTAGGCTAGGTCTGGAGATAGAACCCCCCCCCCCACCCCCGAAAAAAAGTCACACTCCTGATTTTCATCTATACAATACAAGAAATATATATATAATATCAAATGTAGGCATTGATTAATTAATGATTTGAAAATTACCGAATAGAGCTAAAAATTATTAATATTGGTGAAATGTAAACCCATTTTTTGTGTAACAAATCATACAATAAATTATAATGCCCATATCAGTATATTACAATATTGTCAATTTGCCTTGTTAACGAATTTCACGTCAGATATGATTTTTAACCTTATTAGTTATTACCATAACCTTTTTATAAAGCCATATTTTCGCGGGACTCGCATAAGAATAACTAGGGGAGGAGGTTATTATAGCCCCCCTGTCATAATTCCTATACTCCCACCAAGTACCAACAGTAGCTACATTTATGAATTTTTATTTAAAAATTTTTTTTATTTCTTTTATTAAAACCTGGGAAAATTTTTTTTGTTATTATCAAACTATATAATATTACCATGATACGAATGATACGTGATGAGTGATTACCACAGATATATTATATACTAATTAGTATTTTGTCGTGTAGTTTTTACTATAATATGTACTATAAGTGTATCGTGAATGTACATCCATAAAAGTTATCACTTATCAATAATGTAAACACAAAAATAGTCACCCAGAAGAATACTCACTATTTTATTTTTCTAACATTATGTATAAATGGTGATAACGAGTAACGATTACCTACCGTGTGCCTGCGAACCGCTTGTAGGGGTCTTGCTAAAAACTGAATCAGATTTTATATTACAAGTATTTTATTATGATATATAGTCATCGTCTTTCGATCTTCATAAGCATAATGGTTGCATGCTTGTGTCTGATAGTTAGGTGTAGTATCCTGGTCAACTTTGTTATTATTATTATAATAAATTAGTCAGATTTTGCTTTCTTATGTTTTCAGGATTTATTAAAATATTAAATATAAAATAAATGAAACTGAATTGAAATCAGAAATGTGGGTTAGATAATCAATTATTATAAAAGATTAATAATCACCAGGGAAATCATGTCATTATATGTATATACATATGTAAATGCACCTACCTACATGTTAAAAGATATGTTGAATAAATAATTAATTCTATAAAAAGTTGTCAAATTTTATGTTATGAGAACTACTTACTTTTATTTTGAACTGTTAAGACACTTCAAACAATTTAGAACCTTAATTAAGATAATCAAATTTTAATAGTTTTTCTTAATAAGTGAGATAAACACGTCATAATATATTATAGTACCTATATATTATTTTAAAATGAAAAATAAAGGTAAGTATCAAAAAAAAGTTAATTGGTACTTCCTTTTTATACTAAAATAAAAAATACTTAGTTATTTCTATACGTATTTGCTGTAAAAGAGTGGAATGATATATATTTGGAGGAGGACAGTCTTGGTAATGAGTAATGACTAATGTAATACTAAAATGTGTATTAAACAATACATTGCATCTATACAATATTATATATATTAGGTAGATAAAAAATAAACTATAGTTGTTAAATTTAATAATGGTTTCTGGGGAATGAAAGGAGGAATGAGAATATCCAATTCCTATATTCTGTGATAGACCCTTTAAATCGTATACATATTAAGTACATAACAAGCTGTATTATATCCGTCGTTCACCGAGGATAATTGAAACCCAGATGGACAATCCACTTCCCGCCTACAGATAATTATAAAATATAATAAGTAATAAAGAAAGTAACATTTTTCTTGAGTGAATCAATTGTAAACAAAAACAGACGAATATGCAATTATAATTTTAATATTATTTGTTTCTTATGATAGCTCAGGGATGGCAAACCTTTTGAACACTGCGTGCCCAAAATTAGTAGTAACCTTTTTATTTTTTTTAGAGCGTGCCATGAAAAAAAATTTAAAAATATAGTATTTTGTTATACTATAATTTGATTGTATAATTAATGTATCAGTATAAAAAGGTTAGTTTAGGCTATTTTAATTTATAGGTCCTATAATATTATATATTATATTATATATAAAAGTACAAATTTTCGCGTGCCCACAAAATCTTTTCACGTACCACCTCGGGCACGCGTGCCATGGATTTGCCATCCCTGTGATAGCTGGTTCAACAGTTCAATCTATTATCCAAGCTTTCCTTAAATCGTCAAAATCGGTCGAGTATTTTTTGATTCTTTATACCTCAGGCCCTTGCTTATATTTTGCCTTTTATAATATATACCTATTATAAAATTGGTTGTTACTCAAGTCTTCTATTCTAATATTCTTACGACCCGCCCGAAATCTGAAAATATAATGTATTTTGTGCACAATTGGTACCAATTTATCAAAAACTGTGGATTTGTTGTATGTTATTTAGGTATAAATTGTATCATATAAATATACAACCACTGAACCACTAACCAGTCACCCGACTAATAATATCTAGATATTTTAATTACTATATCACAATCTAAAATTATTATAATCTACGGATTCCTATACTGGTATACCTACTGTCTATTACCATCTTATTACTGGTTTACTGTCTATTACCAGTGGTCGAAGTAACTTAAAATAAGTGGAGGGACGCCTTTCATAATTTATATAGTTGAATAGTTCTCATATATCAGTCGTACAAAATAAGTAGAGGATGGAAAATGTGAATTATAAAAAGCGGAGGGATGCCATCCCATCGTAACCCCACCACGCCAATTCGACATTTCGACCACTGTTTATAAGTTATAAGTTATAACATTGTCTCAAGCCATGGAGTATCGCCAATGGTTGATTTCTTCATTCATATATTATAATTTATACAACGATAAATTGTAGTGTAGCTTGGTCCATACTAAAAAGTAAAAATAAAACTGGTTTACAAATGTTACCTTAAATTTTAAAATTATGAAAAAGTTAAACCATCTTTCAGTAATTCAGTGAGTAATATCTATCATATGGATTAAGTGAATCTACCTAGGTCAAAATATCCACGGAAAAATATCTAATTAGAACCGATTGCCGGATTAAGTAGGTATATTCTCATTGATAGTTAAGCTAATGAGTTACATAATAATACCTGTATAGGTAATTACTAAAATATGTAGCCTTACCTACTCAAGTATGAAGTAGGCACCTACTTAAATTAGAATGGAATGAATGGATACTAAATTGTAATTTTGATAAAAATGATAACATCATATTATTATCTAGGTGGGTACATCAAACATATTATAGGTTATTTAAAAGATACCTATATATTTTATGAACGTATATGTAGCCATGTAGGTACACGAAATTTGATTAGCAAATAATTCGAGTGGAATCATAGACCTTATACTACAATGAGAAGAATAGAAAAGGAAATAAAGATTTCTCGGATAAGAATAGAAACTGTAATTATAACTTATATAAACTATTACAAAATAAAAACTAATAGTAAAAAGTTTATTGCACGTGCACCAAGAATGTGTGTTGTACTCGTATGTATAAAACTTAAAATGCATATTATATTTTATCTATATAGTCTATAGATATTTAGATTGTCGCTGATCAACTAAATATACAAAATGGTTAACATTAATGATGAATAATGGTGTATAAAATAAATGTATAACTAAGAAATAATTTAATGTCGATATTTTTATTATTTATGTTAAATCTCTTAAATTAAATTGTATGAATAAAATAACAATTCTTATTGAATATATTATTTCAATTTTATGATGCAGAGATGACGAGATGTAATTCGAGAAAGAACTTTTCTAGGTACCTACTTAATAAGGTTATCACTTATCAGTTCTATACCAGTTATCATTTATTACATACCTACCTATTTGACTACTTATAATCATACATTTATAGAGAATGACTAATGTATAGGTATGTAGTACATTAATCCAATTATTTAATAACTAATAATTGTTTAGTGTTTCATTTTCATTATTATTTATTATAATTTAAAAGTGATTTTATATAAAATAAAACTGTGATTAGGCATGTAAGCCTATTATTACTAAATATTTTATTATTCATAACAAGATATTCGTTTAATATGTGACCTGGACCGCGTGACCTACCGTATTGGATATTCCGGGTATTCGTTTAGTATTTTTAGTCAAATTAAAATTCTTAAAATTATGTTATTTTATTCTTATTAATTAATTAATAGTACAAACATAAAATAATACAGGATAACATTTAATAATATATATTTAATAAAATAAATCAGTCAAACAAAATTGAAGTTTTTTTTACGTTTTTCAATGATACAACATACAATTTATATGTTTCATGTAGTACCTAATGGTTAATGTAGAATATTGTTATGCATAAAAATCGAATTTAGAACGAATAGTTAATTATAGTTATAACTTATAGTAGCCTGCACGGTGAGGCTATAGTTTGATAGGGCATCGTTGCCCATCCCCCCCCCTAAAATTTGGTTTGTTACACCTGTAGATTTGGCCTGGATTAATAGATTAGGAGTATGTGCCGTACTAAGCTGTATTAGGTCAATATCGTTATTATCGTACGGTGTAGTGAGTACTAGTACCATTGTATTGACATAATGACATACCTGTAATAACTAATAAGTAAATAACAGTTAGCAATATTATAATTTATAATTATTGTTATATTATCATAAATGCGATTTGTTTTTAGCGAAAATTAGTTCAACCTATCGTAATATTATTATATTAGGTAGGTACTAATAAAAAAACAAAATAGTAACTATATACATGTATATTATAATATATATTATATATCCCTATATTTACATGTAACAATATACATTACGTTGGTATTATAGCAGTATAGGAATTACCTATGAAAGTATAAACTATAATATAGACAATAGATACCAGTAGCCATGTTTAACCGTTTAGTAAAATAGGTAGGTATATACCTACCTTGTATACATAAATAGGCATATAGAATATATTATATATAAATACATATACATGTATACCTTGTTCTCATAAAGTATATTTTTTTCACAGCTGCGATTACAAAATTGTTTCCTAATATAAAATATTCCTATAAAATGTGTAACCAATAACCATAATATATGTCTATATCGTCATATAATATTATTATATTAGGACGTTTATTTTACATGCAGCTTTTAGTTTTTACGGATGCATAAGCATAACCAAATAAACTATTGCTGAAAGCTATTATTTTAATGTCATTAATATAAATTACTTCACGTAACATTTAGCTGGCTTGGAGCAATTATAGGTATATGGGTATTTATTATTTAATAATTTGTTTAATTGTCTTATTCGCTTATCACGGGGAACACCAAAGATAAATATTCAAACGAAAATTTGTATTCTATTTAAAAATGATTAAATACGTCTAAATAGCTTAAGCATTAAAATATTAATTGTCCATGCTGTTTTAGACATCGGAATTATATAATATACGTAGTTATTATTTGTACTGTCTACAAATGTATATAATATTATATTATTGTGTGCCTATTGTATATTATTGTGTGTTTATCTGCGGACGCTAACGGTATAAATTATGATTTATGAATATAGGTTTACATTAATACATAATAATATAAAGATAGCAATATTGAATATTTTCACAATATTTTCATAAATTTAATAATTTATAATAAAAAATAGAAGACAGGATTTAATATTTATGTGTAAAGACTAATGAGCAATGAAAACTTGTAAAAAAATAAAAAAATAAAAACTATATTTATACGTTATAACTTATAACATGAAATATGAATATACACACTATTATAATATTGTCTATACTTAGGTAGGTAATAAGTGAATGGATTATTATTTTATCTGTATGATTAAATAAACAATTCATTTTAAAATCAATATGTTATTATTTTCTTTATTTAGGACTTTGTTCAAAACTTAAAATAATATACCTAACTATCATAATGCGCCCCCTACATATCACTACATTTCATATAATTGTAAAACTCTAAACACTAAACACCAATATAGTACACATGCATAGAATACAGTTAAATATGGAACAATTCAACGTAGCTAGTAATAATATTGTATTCAAATATAATTATAAATAATTTTCATTTAAGTAAAGGTACACCGATTAAAGTAATATATTTTACTATTTGTCATATGTTTATAATACTACAGTAGATTAAATTAATTTTAGCTGTAAAAACTGCATTTGAAAATGTCATTGTGTGTATAAAATATTATTATTTACTTTAAAAGTTTTCAAGAACCTAATAATAATATTTTCAAATTACAATAAAAGAACTAAAATTGTTAGTCTTTGTACAAATATCAGCTTTTATACTTCCCTCCGAATTTGTACTTAGCATGTCTATTAAAAAAAATCGGTACTTTCTTGTTATACGACTATACGAGAATACCCTGTTTTTTTACATCACAATCCTGTTATCTAAAACTAGTAAAATGATACTTTTCTGTTATGCGAGACTTCGGCTATTACCACGACTATCACCCAAGACTACCTCCGTTTTAACTTCAATAAATTGGTGTGAACAAAATTTGAAAATAAATAAAAATACAATTATAGATTGGAATTAGTATTTGCGGGAAATTTGTGTTCTAAACATTGAGACAAGGAACCAAGGACAAATTGTTAAAATCGGTAAAATCGTGGAAATTGATGAAAACTTATTTTCCAAGCGCAAAAATAATGCTGCAGGTAGAATTCTTCTACAACAGTGGATTTTTGGAGGTCTATATCGGAAAACCTTTACCTTTTTTAGATTAGATTACCTTAGATTTACCTTTTATTATTATTATTATATTATTGTTTTTCGTTCGTCTCATCAAATTTGGCACTTTGGCTTGTCCATGTAATTACCATGTTTTTAAATTTTTTTTATATACAATTCAAATGTGGCCTTCCCCACGATACATAATTTTATTATTAAAAAAACCAAAGAAGGTAAGAAAAATAAGTTAGTCTCGTATAACAGAAAAAACCAAAAAATTATGCCAACGGATTTTCAATATTTCTCAACTACTATGAATAAACCTACCTGTGATGAACCTTATATTACATTTCCCAGCATTTCGAACACATTGAAAACAATTTAAAACGTATTGATATGTACGGAAAAAAAAAATTGAAAATGTCTATAAACTATAAATAGATTGAAGATAACAATAGCTGAACATTGTGCTATGTACGAAAATGATAAAATAAATATTTGGTGAACATTTCGAGTATCTACGTCTAATAGTTTTTTGACCAAGCATTAAATTCGATTTTTTTTTCTCTAAATAGCTTAAAAAGAGTAAAATATTTTTAAAGTTGAATGCTATTAAAAAAATGTTAAAATATGAATATTCGGTGAAAATATATTTTCATACATCTGCTTATTTTTAGTGTTTCGCCAGAAATCAAGGTCGAATTTATCAAACACTGGTTTTGGGTAAGAATCTCCGTTTTTCGTTAATTTTTTTTTTCGAAGATTTTGAAAACTTTTGGGAATTTATTACTTTTAACTCTCGACTTCTCGAAGTACTGACCTGATTCACTCTTCTTCCAGAAAATTATATTAAAGTAAAAAATCAAAGCATTTTCAGTGCTCCAAATGGTGATGACAAAAAAAAAACACATCATTGTTAAATCAATAGATTCATCGGAACGATGAGAGTCTAAACAAGTTGCGAAGAAAATAATAAATATTAAATATACTAATATATAGGGCCCGGATTTATATGCTCTAAAATCCTCAGAAATATGCACTTTAAAATATGCATTTATGCTCTTATTTTGTAGGCATATACCCTGTAAAATAAAAAATATGCAAACGAAAAGGTAAAAGTCTTATTTTCATTATTTTTTGTATGGTTCCATAAAATTATAATAGATTTTTAAAAATTTTATGTTTATACGATTCATTTTTCGTTGTTATAATGTTATTTCAACTTATTGTAATTTAAATCTGAACAATTAATAATTAAATATACACAAATTAAATCAAATGAAAATAAATTACGAGCACTCGGTACAAGACAAACACGACTATAATGTATGATTCACGAAAACCTACAAAAATACAGATTACTACTTGTCCCGATAGGTCTCAGACAAGATAAGAAATCGACTTCGTCAAATTACATGGACAATATAACTATAAATACGTTATTTTAATTAAAATTCAATTTATTTATTATGCACATAAATACATAAGAACCTGTTAAAAGGCAATAAAAAATCGTAAAATATAGAATTATGCAAAAATATGCAAAATAAAACTTTCTATTACAGATTTATTGATTATAATTCAAACTCCTGGTTTACCTAGCTATTTTTTGAACTGCTTGGAAAAAACATGCAAATGCATATAAATCTGGGCTCTACTAATAAAATACAGTCCAGTCTCGACATCTCGAATTAATTTTTATTCGTAAAATCCAAATTATGAATTGATATTTTTTTTAAATATAAACCCAACAGGCAACAGTTAAACATGCGACGGTTCGCCGATCGTCTGAGGTAGAGAGCCTTTATAAATCTTATTCTGTCCATAGACCTTTTACTCTCTTTTACTATGATTCTGTCTTATTCTGTATTGCTCTTTAGTCTGAGGCATGCGCATGATCTACATTAAATTGTTATATATAATAATATCAGTGCGTGCAGTGTGTGCGGCGAACGATTATCAGGACAGCAGGTATCAGGAATCGTGGAGTCGGCCACACTGTTTTGGCGCGCTTGCGCAACTTTAGAAAAACGCGACCACCCGCCGGCCGCCATCGCCCATCGGCCATCACCGCGATCAATTCCAGTAGATAAAATATATACTTATAGGTGTAATATTATATTATGAGTTTTAGTACTCTAATATCTATTATAATAAAATATAGTAGTAAAAACACATAATATTATTCTAAGTATTCCCACATTTACGTACAATAGAATAATAATATGATATATCAGTTATTTCGTCGTGTCAGTGTCACTAGTAATTAATATTCGTAATCGTCTTAACGTCGGCTTTGCTTCCGCCACGGCAAACCATCTCATCGACCATTGTTTACCTTCTTCGACAATAAAATCGTATTGTCATCTGTTACTCGCGCGCGCGCACGCCTGCAACCTCACTATGGACTGTCGTACGTGATACCGGAAAATTCGACGTTAGCGACAGTATCGAGCATCCTCGTCCACCTGCCACCTACGGTTCCACAGGCGTATTGATAAGGCGTTTCGCAGTTTTAACTTTTTCATTACCATTTATCGACGACTGTACCGCGTGTGTCATCCGCCGCCTTCAATATGGACAAGAGGAAATTATCGTGAGTATAATACTATAATATAATTACTGTCATATAATATAACAAACAGCCCACCGATTATATTATTCCTGGGTATATGGCGCGGAGCCTACGATAGACATTTTACGATAAACGGTCGCCGCCTCTAGGTATCGATTTTGCTGAAACTAAAACACTGTGACACACGACAATGCTCTTTGACATACTACAGCTGCCTGTGGCCGACGTATACGTATCATGAAAATGGCTCTTGGTAGTTTTTGATCGGTCCATTAATCTGTTCACTTGATGGTGTTCAATCAGTGCTCCATTTGTTGATGTGTGTTAAAACAGAGGGAAATATCGAGGTACATCCCTAGTGTTTTTGCAGAAAGAGAATTAAAACCCCCCTCCCCCACAGTTAATATTGTACCCACTAACCAATATAAAATCTGTTGCATTCAATTTCCTCATTACCCTAGGTACCTATTTATATTTACATAAAACAAAATTATTTTACTTTTGAGGCTTCCGTTTTTGCAACACTAAGTCGGGTTTACTTTGTCGTGTGTCATATTATATCTATTTATCACATAGGTTAAATCTAGGTACCACATAAGCTAACAAGTTGAATATATTGAACTTCAAATGGCACAATGTAGTGTGAATTCAGCTACATAGTATTACATTAGCTATATAGTATTATTTACCTATTTATGGTTACCATGTATTTAATAAAACAAAGTGCTAACATTTTTAATGTTAAGTATCCTACTGATTCCTCATTTTTACTGAAATGTTAGTAAGTACTCATTTTTTTTTTTTTTTGAGATAGTTAACAAAGTATAAATACAAATACAAAGTCTCTGGCACTAATTCTGTAATTCTGGTATTATGCTTCACAATTAAATACCTCATGTAACTTGTAAAGCACAACGGTTGACAACAATTTGATGAGTGCATAAGTTGTGTGACACTGGCTCTTAGGATATAGTGTACTTGTTAAATTTTTTGTGTAATGATGTAAAATTACCGAGTTTTCCCATGAATCCAAATAATCAACATGTATTAGCATACACTTTAATAAAGTGTCATTGAGTATTTGGTATGGATTTTTCCAAACTTCTGTGGATATGTATTTATGTGCAAATTCACTAACTCATTATTTATAGTCAAATGACATAGGAAATTTTATTTTAAAACTGATATAATGTAATACCTCATATGTAAATATTCAGTCCAATGATTTGTAAATGCACGTTTTATGTCATGAACTTTGAAAACTATGTAGCTTACCACAAATTTTACGACATTTAAAATTAAAGATCGGCTGAATTGGTTGTACATCATTAAACTATTACCTAGTACTTACTGTCACTTTAGAAGTAGAAGTAGAACAAAAAACATTAGAAATTGAGTTCTCAACATTAGTGTTATAGCATTTTTGTGTGGCAAAATGTTGATACTATAGTTGAGTACCTGTGTATATTTGTAAATCTTAATATAATAGGTAAGACTTAAAATATACCATTATATTATACAGTTAATATTCATTTAACTAATCTCCCAAGTAATAAAAAAAAGTTCAGCTACTTAGTATTGTTTATGTCAAGTTATTTATACTAGTGGTAGGTATTTTATTGATTTAGTACAAATTAAAAATATGTAGTTGTAATTGTGTAAATAGGTATGTTGTTGTAAGTCAATGATGTCACAATAACCTACAAGGTAGTAATTGGAGAACCATTATTAAACTTTGGTTACAGTGTCATTTTATTTTCCCATCTGTAGATACTAAAAAGCAGTACCAAGTTAACTATACATAATATATTATATAAGCATAATAATATGTAGTAGGTTTCGGTATGTATTAAATTACAATTTTCATATTAAACTTGATTTTATTTTAAATATTACAAAGATGAACATAATCATAAATAATTTGGTCTAGTTTTATCTTTACTGATAAACTTTACAACAGGAGAGCAATTAATTTCAAGAATTATTAAAAAATAATTGACAAATAAAGAGTAAAATATAGCTTATTACACTAGGCACACCTAATAAAAATAACTTGATTATTTAATTCTAATCTTAATGTTAGTACCTATTTAAGTAAGAAATAAAAATGTTGTTAGTGTTGTCTTAATTTTATGTCTGATTCAATTTATTGAATAAACTAAAATGGTAGGCAAAAAAAAAAATATTTTCCATTTGGTTACATACAATTTAAACCATTTGGTTGTAAATAGTTTCATTGACGGCTATACATATTTGGTCTATTTGATATTTATCTATAAAATCATGTATAACACTATGGTTTATACGATGTCTGACACTTTCCATTAGAGGACCTTTAAAAAACACTTCTACTAAGTATAATGCTCCATTAAATAAAAAACTTGGCATATATTTAGGTAATTCTGACACACTCACTTCCATTGTTCCGACAGTATTTAAATTAATATTGTATGACACCAAGCAGTTGATCGGTCTTACAGCCATTTTCACATCAAATTTATTGTCCAACATAGTACCCCAAAGCTGACATTTAATTCCAAAACAAGTTGAATTGTCCCAAATAACATATAGATGTTGTACAATGAAAGACATTTCTATCCAGGTTTCATCTTTTCCGGGGTGCACAATGACATTACCAATTCGATGGATATTTGATATTTTATTAATACGACCACCTGATCCCTCAAACAATCCAACTGAAAAATCATGTATTCCTGTTTGCAGCAATGTTTTGTATCGATTTTCATGGCTGTTGTCACTCAATAAAACATCAAAATATGTATTTAAAATATTTTTTCTATCTGTTGCTCTTATAAGTATTATATTGAGAAATAAGATAAAAAAACATATTTTTAAACTCATTTTTGAATTTGTTATGAACATTTAATTCCTATTAACTTGATGGTTTATATTCATTCAAATGAATATTAGCTTTAGTTCATCAGACAGGATGTGTTATATTAAATTCATCTCTTGTAAAGGGATTATTAAATAATGCGATGACTGATGTTTACTGTCACGCTGAACAAAGATATGTTTAACCCCTTCCAATGTAGACCTATTCATTTTTTGAAATATGTTTGTTTGTTACACGAGGCTTGATTAAAGGGTGGTGGAGGGGTCCTACAGACATAATTTTTTTAAAACTACATACATTTTTACTTATAATTAGAGGTCAGATTTATATTGTCTTAAAATCCTTAAAATATGATGTTTTTGTGTCACATAAAATAGGAAATATATTCTCTTAATATTCCTTTAAAATACCAAATATATGATGTTTTATTTCCTTAAATGTACAAAATATTCTTTTAATATAAAAAAAATCAGTTTAAATTTATTTTTTATTAATTTGGTTTTAAATATATTTAATTAAATTTATTTTACAATAACAATTAATAGCAATATACAGGGAAACCTCGGTATCTCGAAGTCGTAATGGACCAAAAAAAAATTCGACATATCGAAACTTCGAGTTAGCTAGGGAATTTAAAACATAAATAAAATTTGAAATAAAATTTTTTAATTATTGAAAAAAATGTGTATTTATTCATCGCATACATATTATGTTGTATTATTATAATTTTATCTTTATTTTTCAAAATTGATGACAAAGTGTTAGCAGAAATATTGAAATCTGCCGCAATATCGTTTTTTCTTTTCACACCTTTTTCAACTTCTTTTATAATTTTTAATTTGTCACCAATATTTAAGCACTTCGAAGATCGTTCATTTGACTTTGTAAAGAAAAAACACACGTCTTAATAAAATATAACACAAAACATATATGTGTGTAATTAAAATCACGAATAAGTACAAACGATAGAATTACGACTAAATAAAATCAAAAAAAATAATGTCCATGTAACTTTATCACCGTTATCGGTCACTAGCTGAACTATATAAATATCAATATTATACAACGTTGTGTGTTTAAGCTCTATCATTTATCTTATATTTAATAGTCTGGTAATTTTCTACGTTATCTAATCTGTCATATATTCGAGTTAGTGAATCATAATAGGTGTTGGATACTGGATAATGACTTCGACTTATAGAAATATTCGACTTATGGAAATTTGATATATCGAAATAACTTAATATGTAAGTCCAATACTGAATGATCGGGACTAAAAAAAAATTTTGAGATACCGGAGTTCGAGATACCAAGGTTTCACTGTATTGTTCGATGGATAGTTGTGACAACCCAATTGATAAGGAATACCTGGAGATTAATTTTGATTGAAACCCAGAAATAAATCATTTAGTGAATTGTATTTATCAAAGTGCTGATGTATGGGGAATCTGTTCATTATATGCCGGATATTACAAAAATTTCTCTGACCCCTAAAATATGCTTTTTATGCAAAATACATTTTTCCTGTGAATTCTGTGTTTCATGATACGTAAAGATTTCTCATTCCCATTTAACTGCATAGACTAGAAGCAAATATGTCAAATCATAAAAATCTGACCTCTACTTATAATATATTTTATATTAATTATTAATATAAATCACTGGTGAATGATCCAAAAATATTTAACTTGTGTTTGAATAATATTTCTTTTGGTAGTAGTATCGTGTATGGTAATCAATTATAATTACCTTAATAATGTATATTATAATAAATACAGCAATTTTTTTATATTTTTAATTGATGGTAACATATGTGAACAACTTATGAGGAACCTTGTAATAAATTTTCAAGGTTTTTACCCTGGTTAAAATTTGTTATCAACATTAAGAACAAAAAACTGAAACAAATGTCTATAAATAGTTCAAATATAGAAAATTGTTTTTAATTATACAATGTGCTTATAGATAATATAAACTTTTTGTGAACATTTCAAGAATTCAGGAATTTTTTTTGTGTTGTACCATATAAACATAATTAAACATAATCAATATTGTCAAAAACTGGTTTTTCATAAAAATTCCCATTTTATTCGTTTTGCCGGTTATTTTGAAAATTACTGGGAATTTTTTATTTTTGACCCCCACAGTACCATCTAGATCCAACTTTCTACTAAAAACCAACTTCTAAGTTATTCATTTTTACCACCCCAAAAGATGATGATGGTCACAATAATAATAAAACACATAATTGTAAAATCAATACATTTATTGCACAGCATTTAAATTTGAAAAAAAATTGTGGTTATAATCATTAATAATATGTACATTTTATATTCCTATGTTATATTTATAAATAGATCACTTTAAATTATGTATATTGTGTTTAGAGGCAACTTAACTTACTATGTTATTAATTTATGTTTTTACTTTTGTTTAGAACGTCTGGAGATTCTCTGTATGTTACACTGAGTTTAGCAAAAACAGCAGAAACGGAAGAAATTAAGAAAACATATCGAAAACTTGCATTAAAATTTCATCCAGATAAGAATACTGGTAACCCTGAAGCGGAAGAAAAGGTTTGCGACTCATGTTCTGAACTAATATCTTAATACCCAAGTTTTATTCTCATGATTTTTAGATAATTTTATTTATGTTTGTAGTTCAAAGAGATCAATAAGGCATACAGAATATTGACAGATCCAAGCAAACGTAATATATATGACAATTATGGTTCCCTTGGATTGTATATTGCAGAGCAGTTTGGCGAGGAGAATGTCAATGCCTATTTCTTTGTCACCTCAAAGTGGTGCAAGGTTTGTTTGAATTTTTATTGGTATTAGTATATATTGGCGATATAAAGCATCTCACTAATTTTTAATTATTATTTTTCAGGCTTTAATAATTGGATCTTGCGTAATTACTGGATGTTGCTGTTGTTTCTGTTGTTGTTGTTGTTGCAATTTCTGTTTTGGCAAGTTTAAGCCAAATGTACCTGAAGATCAACAAGCAAATTATACAAATTTACATGTACGTATCAAGTTTAGAATTATTGAAGTGTTTTATTATTGCTATTCGCATGCAGTCAATTTTGGAAATGTTAACAATAAACAAAGGTTCCAGGTTTGTTTTGTTTGGGCTAAGGGCACTTGTAAGCATGTTATATTATAACAATAAGAAGAAATATTTTATATCTAATAAATTTAGTCCATTTATGTATTTAAAAGTTTTAATTAAACCAGATTGTCTAATAATTAAATTAATAATGGAAATAAGTAATATAATATTGTTTTGGTTGGTTAGGTTGTATGATAAGTGATAAACATTTACTGATTAATAACATTGAACAAATTAATTTAATTTATTATATCACATTATTATTTAATAGTATTGAATAAATCACAATATGAGTATAAATACAATATAGTACTGTTGCTAGCAAATACATAACATAATTTACAACTTTATATTATATTTTGAATGTATAATGTAGTATACACATTTTATCTTTTGTTTTATTAGTTAAAAGATTTTAGTTGTTGAATAAGTATTTATATAATGTAATTTTTCACATTTTTTTTCAAGAGGATATGTTATAAAATTATTGTTATCCTAATGGATATTAGATTCAAACTATCACCTTTACTATCTTGTGGCCTGTAACCAATTTTTTGAGATGTTGATAGTATATCAAAAGGGACTCATTTTTTATACTTCATAGAGTATAACAATAAATATACCACTACCTAACCTTGTCAGACTTAAAAGTAATTATTGTTAGGCTAAACAAATAATACCCTAAAGCCTAATCATTTTAATCAACCAATTTAGAAAAAAAAAATATCAAATGTATTTAATGTATTCTATAATGATTTATAAAGGAATACTGTTATAATATACAGTTTATGGTGAATTTTTTTTGTGGAAACTATATGGACAACTAAACCAGTTTATCTAAATGTATTATCAGTAACTGGTAAGTGACTACTTTGGGACAAGCATTTAACACGTATAATTAATTATGAATTATTATTCTTTCTATTGTTTTTTATTCATTATAATACGGATAGTAAAATACATTTTTTTGAACTTGAATTTAACTATAAACTAATTATTACAAGGTATGTTGAGACTTGAATATCTTCTAAACTAGCTATATTGCATAATATCGAAATATGAGTGCATAGTAACCATTTTTAAAAAATTCAACCAGAGCGTCTAAACATAACTCATTTCTCTCATCAAACATGTATTGTTGAAATTTTAATATATATAAGCAGTGTTCGGAATGTTCACTATAAAAATGAATTCATTTTTGTTCATGTTTAGTCCTTCAAAAAGGAACTCGTTCATGTTCATTTGTCATTCATTTAATTTTTAAATTTTTTTTATAATAGAAATTATAGTAACAAAATATTATTATACAACATTATAACTCATCAGTTTATTTTAAACAAATATTGAAATATTTAATAAATTGCAAACAGATTGAGCGTCTTAAAAATTGTTTGATTTCGTTAAATATTAATATTATTCACGTTCAATTTGAAAAAAAACTAGTGACGTTAGCATATCGTTCACTATATATGAAAGTGAAAATATGAACCCCCATCTTTCCAAACACTGCAAATAAGAGAATGCTACATTAGTTTGTGTTGTCTCTATCTTACACTTAGCTTAACATAGCAAATCTATTTATCGGATTCTTATTACAATTGATTTATAGTTAATATTAGAACAAATTAATGTGATATCTAATTTGTAAAGGAGTATAATATATGCTGTGCCCAAGCTATATTTTTATCATATAATTACTATAAACAAGTTATATCAATTTAAAAAAATGAATTATTTAAGCACTTGTAACAAATAAAAAAAAAAGTGTTCACTCAGGCACAATTTATACTCTCTTCTACAAATATAAATTCAATAATATTATTAAATTTGCCCTAATATTAATTAAATAAACGGAAGTAAGAATCCAATAAGTATATTTACAATGTTATACGTGTGTATGACAGACAATATCTTGTAGGTGTAATACCTGCTTAAATGCATACTAAAAATATTAAATACAGCAAAGTAGTTATTAGATGTTTGTATGTATTTTTACCTTAATCTCTGCTCTCCTTAATTTATACACAGTAAGCCTCGCTAAGATGGAATCGCTTGGGATCGTCCAATTTTTCCTTCTTAATGAAGTTTCTGACCTAATGGGGTTCACATTCATTATGTATTTGAATCGGGACCAAAGAAATTATCCCTGTTATTTGGGTTTCCGTTTTGCAGAAGTTTTGTCTTGCCGAAGTTTTACTGTGTTATATTATGTCAGATAATTATAAATTTAAGAAGTTGACATTGACGCTACACAATTTTGTAAATTATTTTAAACTAGTAGTTGTTTTAATTTACTGCTACTGCATAATATATTGTGATAAATAATAATACAAATAATTATTGTTAATAAGTTTAAAGTTGTTAGTTTTAGAATTTTCCATTCTATCAGTATATTATATTTGAACTCAATATATTTTACATTGAAACTTAATGTTTTAGTTTTATTAAAATATATTTACAATAGTTTATTGCCATACGATTAGTTGCATGCTGGCGATATGTCTTAAAACATAAAAGTAATTTAATACTTGTATTTAAATCAATTCTTATTCCACTTATATCATGTAGTTTTATTATTTTTTTGAATATCATTGGTCCCATTTTTTGCATTTAATGTTTGCTTGTTTTCGGTGTTTTATTTTGTAGAACGATGGAGCGAACTCAAATATAGACGGTATACATAAAAAGGTAATTTTTGTATAATTTGTTATTTAAAACAAAACAAATATATGTTTATGTATTATGTCATTTTATTAGTATATTATGTAAAATAAATAAGTTGAAACATATTTTATATAGTTTTTATAGTAATTTAGTATTAATTAATAATACATTTTTGTTTCTCAATATACTTAAAATTACTTTTAGTTTTATACATACATTTTGTAAGTTGCATAAAGAAAAAAAATCTTATGAAAATAGTTATTCTGCTTACTACTTATTAACAAATTCAATACTAATATTAAAGATGGACAACTCTATTAGGAAGTCATACCCATTTATATTTTTGGGACAGTGCTCACATTAACTGCTCATCTTTAAAGTTAAAATATTAAATAATTTATTCTAAAAGAATTAATTCTATTTAAGTATGTTGTTCAATGTATTTTTGAATTTAGTTTTTATACTGACTGAAATTATTTTATCCAAACAATTATAAAAATATAGTAAATGCTAAATAACAAACAAATAATAATAATAATAATAATAATAATATAAAAAACACTGTTATGCTAAATAACTGCCATTACCAATAAGATAAAATAACTAGAAAATATAAAGAGTAATTTAAACTATAATTATTTTTTATGTATAATTTACACTAATAATCTTCTAATATATGTTATATTTTAATGTTTTTAATAACATAGTAATTTGTGGTGGCAAAGAATTTTTGGAATTAAATAACTTATCAATATTAACATTTCATCTGACAATATTGTTACCTACAAAATTGGCACTAACTATGTTTCCATAGAAAATTAATAGTTTGTATTCTTATGGAAACTTATAAAATAATAATTTGTTAAGTTTTTAATTTTAATTGGCAAATGGTAACTTAAGTAAATATATGAATGCAGTATGTGCTTGCTTATCGACAATGTTAAAAATATGCTATTTTGTATGAAATAAGTAAAGCAATAAAATAAATGGGTATAATTGTTAGAAATTATTTTTTTTAAGTTGGTCACTAGTTTTTAGTTTGTATGTACACCATGACAAATTAATAACAAATTTTTATTGTAATTGTTTACATTTAGGTATTAATCAGTGGCTCTGATTTTATTTGAAATACCTATGACAAATAGCATTTTGTATAAAATAACATCCACCACTCTTAACTAAAAATTAGTTAGGTTATACATTTTAATGTTATTTTATTATTATCCATTTTTTAATTTTAAATATTATATGGTTAAAAATATTATTGTATCACCATAATTACATAATTTTATATGTAGATACCTCTCAGCCACCCATTGAATTACCTATGATATTTGTCATAGGTGATCTATAGGATTGACACCATTGCTAATGACTATTGGAAATAATAATAATTATTCATCAATTATATTTATAATAATATATTATGTTAATATTTTTTTGTAATTCAGGAGGATAGCGAAGATGATGTTGTAGTGAATCAGCCATCTTCTACAAACAATGCTACGGGAGGTGCAGCACAACATACTAATGCGTTTGCCATGCCACCACCGCCTTCTGCCAATGAGACCACTGCACTGAATCCGGATGGTACTCCTACCAAGTACTCTGCAAGCAAATAATTATCTTTTGAGTCTTTACAGCCCGTCCCCCAGACACATTATAATATACTCAAGTATGACAGAGTAATTGTCCTTAATTACTCTTATCCAGTGGAGTTTTATCACAGAGCATTACAATAAATCATTTTTTTCATATTCATTAATCACATTTTAAAAATTTTAAAATATTTTTAACATTTTGATTAGTTACATAAAAATGTATCTCCAGTAAGTTTGAGGGATCGAATTTTCCTTGTGTGTTTTTCTCCTATAGCTTTAACATGTGTTTAATTTTGCATGGTTTTAGTAAATATAAAATTATTTTGAAAACTTGTTTCAAAATGTACCAGTTTTGTTATAAATTCTTTTATTTAGGACTTTAAAGAAATAATAGTACGAACAGATGCAATTAAATCAATTATATGATTTGAACAATGTAGTAATTTGTTTTAATCATTAAAAATAAAATAAAATAAACTTACACTTATCGACTGAGTTTCCAATATACCTATATCTATATATACATACATACAAATAATTTGTTTATTGTTATATTTTGTGAACATTTATATAATGTGGAACAACTTATCCAAACAGGGAAATTTGGTAAATACTTAAAATTAGTTCTAATATATATATACAATAGATAATAGTCACAAATACATCAAGTCATTCTATAATATTTTAGATTTTATTTTTTATTTATTTAAGAAACAATTTTTTGGCATGTGATTTATTCTATTTTAATCTAGCTTAATTTGTATTAAGAAGTACCTATATTAAATGTATAATTACATTTTAATCATTAACATTATTATTCATAGCTTATAATAATAAAAATATTCATTTATCATTTTAATATGATACAATAATAATCTATTCAGTTTTACATACTTTGTTTAATATTGTTATTTGCTACTTGTTAAAGAAAAAAAAAACTGTGTTCGTGAACAATTCGTTCTCATTTTTTATGTTAATTATTATTTTTTATAATTTTTTTAAAAAGTTTTGTTTACTCAATGAAAATAAGTAGTGATAGCCAATATTAATTATTTTATTAATTCTATGTAAACAACAAAGTGAGATATATTAGAGACAAAATTATCTTGTATATTTTTTTTTAATCATAGGTACACTGTCATACAATTAATTATTTCATTTATACCTACATTTTATTCTGTGACATTTATGTTATTTCCTAGAGAATTTTTCATTTTTGTTTATAATATTTAAGTTATTTAAGATTTTTGAATCTCTTTCGGGGATACATTTGTTGTAAATAATAGAACCACCTTTATCAAATATTTTTAATTTATTAATTTGCAGAATTTTTTTGAATTTTGAATGTGCAGCATTTTAACATCGGTGTAGACAGTTTTAAGTTAGTAATTTTTTTATTTTTACTTTAATGTACCATCTACTTCTATTTCTAAACAATAATAACAATATTATATTCCTTACACTGTTTATTGTTCTTTTTAAAAAAAATTAACTCATAACTCCATAGAACAACTAGAATCATAATATTATATTATATATAATTTATAAGCAACTCTTTTGTCTGATGAACATAATCTTTATTAAACAAGTAAAACACAAATATTCTTAAATAGCTTTAGAAATTGTATTTTGATTTTTATCTCTTTAAAAAAAATAGCGAAATAGGTGTGTTTTACTATACTATTATATTACTATCATTATTTTTAATGTGAGATATAATAAATAAATTATTAAACATTTCTTGTCAAGTTCTTGGTTACATATTATAATAATCAATTATAATGTGTAAATTATAAATTCATCAATTTGTGTATTAAAATTATAAAGTTCATTGTGCCATGAACACAATTGATAAAAATCAATACAAAATAACAATACTTCATTCTAATAAAGTGACAGCCAGTATTCATTTTTATAATCATATTCCTATGGTGTGCTATGTCTTCCACACACCAGTTTTAATCTACCAGTTTCTTGAATCATATTATGACTTATCTATTATGAACTAAAATAGATTAATGTTCTTTAATATAAAAATAATGGTAAAATAATTTTTTTACATTTATGTTTACACATAATATTAAATTATAATCCATCTTACTAATCATTAAGTATTTTGACAAAACTTCACTTATATCTGCTGTATGTAACTTTATATTATGATGTCCTGCCATCATTGATAACTAACCCATCCATGATTTCATATACAGTTCACATATACAAATGTATGGTTATGCAAATTACAAAAATAATAGTATGTATGAGCATGCCGGATGAATAGTTTGACAAACTTTAGTTAATGTGGTTAATACTTATGTTATTTTCACATGAATATTTTCACAGGTTGTTTTTAAATTATCTTAATTCTTAACCTTTAGATTTCCTTAGAATAAAATGCAATAGTGTGACTCAGTGGTTGACCACAATTACTTAAGATTGTTGAAGTTACTGCTGTGTACTGGTTGTCTACCTCTGTACCCTGCGTTGTTAGTTTGTTGTTAACTTGTTTTTAGCAACGAAACATAACACACTTACACAATACAATGTGTTACAAGTTACAATCCTACCAACATATAATCCACAGCAGAAGCTATTTACTCAAATAGACCGCCCAGGAACCCTCTTGGCGAATTTTATTATCCACGAATGATCTCACGATTCGCATATACCTATGCGATATAATTTATATTTTTCACCTTATATGTAAATCAACTGAACTGACTTTTATGTTGTTCATTCATTTTTTATGGCATACGTTTTACATCGCATAATTTGGTTCAACTTTAAAATACTCAACTGTTTTCTTTGTGGAAGCATTTGATTTTCAATTGAGTATATGTCACAGTATAAAAATATATTATTATATGTATTCTCAATTTTTATTTTTATTTTTCGTGTTAGAAATTAAAATATAAAGTATAATGTAAATTAAAAAGAATTATTATTATTCAATTTAGTATTTGATTTTAAATATAGATATCTTGAGAAGTATTTAAAATAATTTTTTGAAGTCCTTTTTTCCAAGAGTATTTAAAATACGTATTTTTGAGTACATTTAAGTATTTGAATACTTTTACTCAATTACCTTTAGAATAATGCTTTCCCGGAGCATTGTAAAATTCAACTCTGGTTTTAATGTTATTGATTATTATTAACAAATTAAAGGTAATTAATTTTAGTAAAAAATTCATTTTTTAAGTACTTTTAACTTAGATAAAGATGGGAAGAAAACCAAAGGTAAAGGGGTCAACAATTAATAATGAGCTTATAAAATACAAGAATGAGATCATTGACGAAAATAGTCAAAATAAGTACACTCTTTTACAAAAAACTGCTTAAAAAAGAGAAAAAAAGATCTACTTTTCATTCTCAATATTTAAGCCAATTATTCATAAAACACCAACGTTGTACAGTTCCTTGAAGGAACTCTAAATAATTGTTCTCTTTGCTAAAAAGTTAGAAGATAAGTTATTTCTAAGATTCTTTGTTTAATAAATTAACTAATTAAAAACAGCAGAATAATCAATTTTGTAGTTCAAAATGTATACGATTTTCAATTTTTAAAGCTAAGTATTGAACATTTTAAACAAGACTTCACTTCAGCAGTTTTTTCTGTAACTATATTATTTAAAATAATATATAAATACAGTTATTTTTCATGGATATCTTAAGTTCAAATTTGGAGAAAATTACACATTAACACAAAGAATAACGATTTTTGTCATTTTATTGTAATTAGGTTCCAAAACAGCCCAATTTTACGTAAGTAGGTATATTTAATATTTTTCCAGCATCATTGATAATTTAAGAATAATATGAACTCAACTTACCGACTGCCATATTAATAAGTAATAACAATAGTATGAAATTCCTTGACTGACATTCCGTCTCCGCTTGGAATCGTTTTTCGTAGGTATACAATGATATGATGTCATTGTATTCAAATTAATTACCATCCATTACAATTTACAACGACCTCCTTGACACCTAATGCACAGCAGAGCGACATCCTGCACTTACCCGCTTTTTTAATTCTAGGCCTATCCAAAAATGGAAACTCGCTATGAGCCATTAGGCCATGGGCTGCAATAGAATACATCATGTGTTGAACGGCAGAACTTAAAATTCATGTCAATATTAAAACCCAGCCTATAATAAAGCTCCGGAAAAATCATCTTTAATTCTTTTATTATTCTTTATTAGTTATTTTATTTTTATTTTTATTTTTATAAGAAATATACCATATCTGTACCCAGAGACACAATAAGAATATGGGCTAATTTACAAAAGACGTGAATGAGTTATTGGAAGAAGCCACCCAGTAGTGACACTTCCTATTGACTTATTTTATTTCATTTTTTTTAGTTAAGGAGATCTCTGCACCATTTTCTTTTTAGTCATCGACGAGGAGTACCAGGAATTTCGTTTGACGCTAATTCACGGATCAATGGATTTGTGTGGGATATGAGATGATCATGAAAACGCTTATAGAAGTGTTTTGCTTCTTCTTGGACAGTTTTTAGACGGAGATCAGTGTGGAGGGTGAGATTTGATATGTAAGGGGGAGAGTTTGTAATTTTTTTAAGTTTTAATTTTTTTAAGATTTGAGATTTTGGCATTGCCCCAAAGTTGTATGCCGTAGGTCCATATAGGTTTGAGAAGGGATTTGTACAATAGTAGCTTAGTGTTTAAGTTTGTGTATTTATTGTTAATGAGGAGTGTTTTAAGCATGCGTAGCCTGGAATTCAGCTGTGACCGTCTAGTTTTAATATGGTGTGCCCAAGTGAGACGGCGATCGAGTGTTAGTCCGAGATATTTAACCGTAGGGGTTGGAGGAATTTGGATGTTATAGAGAGTTACAGCCGGACACTGGGCTTGTTTAAGGGTGAAAGTTGTATGAATAGATTTTGTTTGATTGATTTTAAATCGCCATTTCCTGTACCAGTCCTCTATTTGGGAGAGATGATTTTGAAGATAAGTGGAAGCTAAAACAGGGTCTGCGCTAGTTGACATTATAGCTTTGTCATCTGCGTAGTCCGCCACTAAGGTATTGGGCATAGTAGGTTTTTCTGAGGTATAAATATTGAACAATAACTGGGGATAGAATTCCTCCTTGCGGAACGCCAGCTCTGATACCTGCTATACTAGAATATGCAGATCCATGACGAATTTGAAAGTAACGATCTTCAAGATAAGATTTAATGAGAATGTAATATGTTGGGCGTATACATTTCTTAAGTTTGGATAGCAGCCCTTCATGCCATACCTACTCTATCGAAAGCTTGCGAGATGTCAAGGAATGCACATGTGCAAAATAACTTTTTTTCCAACGCAAAGGTAATAGCGTCAACAACCCTGTGAACTTGATGAATGGTAGAATGCTTGGCGCGAAAGTCTAACTGATTGTCCGGTAATATATTATTTGCATTTATGAAGGGAAGAATGCGTTTGAGTATGAGTCTTTCCAGAACTTTGGCAAAAAAGGGGAGCAAGCTAATCGGTCTATAGGAAGAAAGAGAGTCAAGGGGTTTGCCTGGCTTTGGAATTAGTATAATTGTAGAAAACTTGCAGATGAGTGGAAAATAGGAGAGCATCAGAATCGCGTTGAATATATGGGTTAGTGAGATTATAGCACGTTTTGGTAAACATCTAGCCACTTCGGCTGTGATAAAGTCGAAACCCGGAGATTTTTTGATTTGGTATTTTTGAATCGTGAATTTGACGTCATTTGGTGTGAAGTGTTTCTCTGGTAGGGTAAGTGGAAGTGGAGAGTCGAGGAGAGTTTGGACAGTATTTGCGTTTTCAGGTTCAATTATGTCTGGGTGAGGTTGGAAGATTTCGTAGAGATGATTTTTAAATAATTCAGCTTTCTCGGGATCAGTTGAAGCAAAACTGCCATCAGTTTTCCTTATTGGAGGGATTGCAGGATTGTGTTAAAGTATTTGCTTGGTTATTTTCCAAAGACTTCCATCTTTTGCCGATAGGTTGGATAGGTGATTCGCAATAGAAAGGGATTTGTTTTTTGCTAGAATTTTTTAAGTGAGTTGGCCAGACTATTATATTTTTGTTTATAGGATGGGAGGGGGGTTCGTTGATAGAGAGCTCTGGCTCTCCGTTTTTCAGCTATGAGCATACGTATGTGATTTGGTAGTGGGAATTTGTTTTTGGAGAGCGAGTTTGCATTAGCAACTGAGTTGAAGGACCTGGCGGCGGATTGAATTAGATTTGTGAGACTATTTACAGCTGAATCAATATCGTCATTCGTTTTTAATTTAACATTTAGTTTGATTGTCTGGTTAACTTTATCATGGAATTTGAAGCGATCAGTGGAGGTATTAAAAAGGTTAGGTGGTGCTTCATGAGTTGAGGGGTAGTCATTAAGTGTAAGGAGAATTGATGAGTGATCTGAATTTAGATCAAGGATATTATTAGTAGTGCAGTATAAACTAGAGGGAATTTTCGCGACAAAGATATCAAGAATATCTGGACTTTTTTGAGGGGAGGTAGGCCAGTAGGTAGGACCTGGGGGAGCTAATATTTTGAAATTTTTTGTAGATACGAAGTTGTGAAGGACAATACCACGCGGGTTATTTACGCGGCAACCCCAATTTTGATGTTTAGCGTTGTAATCGCCACCAATAATAAAATGATTATTGATTGTTTTGAAATAATTCGTGAAATGTTCGAATTTGAGATTGTGTCTCGGGGGAGAGTATAGAGCTGTAACCGTTATAGGGATATTGTTAAGATGAATTATTACGGCACAGGATTGAAGAAACTCTTGGCAAAAATTGGGGAGGGCTTGGAATGCTATTGTTGATTTTATAAGAATGGCTATTCCACCATGAGCAATGTTGCTGGGTGATTTGTTTTAAGTAGTTTGTAACCTGGAATATAAATATGTGAGTGTTGGGTAAAATGGGTTTCTGTTATGAGGGCAAGGTAGATTCTTTTATCATATAGAACAGTTTGTAGTTCGTTAACGTGGTTTTTTAAACCATTTGCATTGAACAATAATGTAAGGAGGGATTTATTTGTAAAAGCATTATTTATTTTTTTTATCTAGAAGACTGGAAATGACTTTCGTGAGAAGAGAGATTAGAGGATTTATAAGAGTTTTGAACTCTTCTAGGAAATTTGTAATTGTAGATTTATATTAGGGGCTGATTCGGGTGTCTGAAGGTTTTGTGATTGGCCTGCAGTAGCCTGGGCGTAGGATGGTGAAAGGTTTGGAGGAGTACCATTTTCTGGGTGGCTAACTTGTACATTATGAGACTTATATCTAACATTATCTGATATGAATGCATTACTTGAGACAGGTTTCTTGCGGCGCTGGAGTTCTTTATAAACGCTGCAACCTCTGTAGTTGGCCGGATGGTCCCCAGAGCACAGAACGCATTTGGCTGGTGAATCACGTGATTTGGAGCATTCTGAGGATGGGTGGAAAGCACTGCAACGAACACAGCGAGCAGAATACCCGCAGTAGGCTCTCGTGTGGTCATACTCCTGGCAGTTGAGGCACTGGCTTATTACTTTAGGCTTATATGGTTCTTCGACTTTGAGTTATTTTTAATTTTCTTTTCTTAATTATTAATTTGAAAATGCTTAAATAGGTAAAGTAATAGTGTAATAAATTAGGTGCAATTTAACCTTTCAACTCAACTGAGGTATGTACTACATCTAATACACTATTTTTATTTTCTATTTTTATTCCTATTTCATATGTTGTTGTTTAAAAGTTTTAATAATATTATATAGGTGCAATTACATGAATACTTTATATGATAAATGAAAAACAATGTTGTGTACTTGTGTGTTTATACTTGCCTATTGTTATTAAATAATACCATGGTATATAGTATATACATAGGTGATAGGTGCAAATCACCCAACAATATCAGGGAGGCTTATACATTTATAAATGTATAATGTCATACCTTATACTAATGGCCAGAGCGTTATTGGTTGGAGGGCAGAGAACTGTGATCATGGCTATTACCATAACAGTGATGCCTTGGAATTCTGCTATTAACCACCAAGCAGATTTTTCAGAGGAATTGACAGTTTGTTATTATCGAGTAAGTGACTAGATGAACGAAAACCACTTAACGATATTGTTGAGCAAGACGACAGTGGTAATATTCACGACAAGGTTACCATAAAAAAAAAGCCTATCATTTGTGCTTCAATGGCTTACCTACCTTAGAACTCAACGCGTACATATGATGGTACCTGGGCGTTGAGTTTAGTGTAACACTTAGCATTACGGAGTAAATCAATATGATCCAAGGTGGAGCTCTGAGACAACTACTTCTCTTTCACATTTGATGCCAAATGTTGGAGGTCTTATGGATGATGAAAAGGAAGTTCCTCACGGTCTTGGTGTACCTACAGGTAGTTTCTATATAATATGTAGCCCCTGGTAGGAGTTCCTCGTTGGTGTTCTAGAACTATAGACACACCTATAATTGTTTTGCTATCAGCGGAGCATTGCCTAACAAGTGACTATAAAAAGGTTAGGTTAGGTGCATACAGAACTTAAATAAAAGGGTGGTGATATTGGTGGTGGCAGGCATGTTTCTCAAATGGCATATACATGCTATGCGGCACGTTGGCAGTGTCGGATTACTCAAGACCTATCAACTACTTAGGTGTATGGGATTACCCATTAGGCGAAAGTGGTACCCACCTAGAGCCTCCACTTGTTATAGAGGTCCCCTGAAAAAAAAATGGAAAATCAAGTTTATTTATTTTTTTATTAGTAGAAAAAATAAAAATATTAATTATTTTTTCCTGCAAATAAGAGATTTGGTGAAATCATTTAATGAATATTTTTTTATTTATTCAAATTATTTGGTTATTATCGATTAAATTGCTTATTTTAATTATTGAGTAGTTAAATACTTAAATTAAAGATACATTATGTGGTTATAAATTTTATTGGGTCATAGGGAGCCCTGAAATGTTGGGCCCCCTATAATGATGAAGCCTATCATGAGTTCCAAAGACTACCTATTGAGAAGTAGGGCTAATTTGGTGGACGTCCACCAAAATTTAACGTCGACGAGTTGGCAACAAGAACTAGACAACGAAGCCACTACTAGTGCTTGCACCTAACTTTGGACGAAACGCCTCATCCGTCACGTTAACCAATGCGTTGATCGAACATATGGTGCGATGATTTACCGTAGTTTTTGATTTGGGCATGGTTGTTTGGAGGCTTACCTGTAAAGATTTGCGTAGGTACGTGGCGACGAAAACACGTTTTTCAGGTGTGTTAAAGGGTCTTAATTCCATTAGAGGCAACAGGACGTGTCGTTGGATACGATTATCATCATCATGTTGAGAAATCGAGGAAAATGGGATATATTAGAATGGTTAATAACATATATCTTGAAAACTAAGAAGGAAGAGGAGCGATAGAGGTATTATCAACGCCCGTAGTATGAGATAACTTGGACGATGAAGGATGGGGTGCATGACGGTCTGAAAACGGCAAACAACAGTTTCCTGGTGTAATGTATAGACGCGTAACGTTGTTATGTTTGAAAACATTTTTCAGAAAAACTGTAAACGATCATATTACGATAGTTTGATCAATAACATGAAGCCTATGTATTTGTTTTGAATTATCATGGTTATTTAGACTTAAGTCTCGAATCGGTATTGACGGAGTTTAAAAGCAAGTTTTGCAATTGAACGATTTCATAGGTTTATTAAATAATTTATTGCGGCCCGGAGATTTGAAGATAAAAAAACAAAAAGAGTAGAAATATTAGTAGTAGTATAAGATTGTCCCAAAATTGAATTTTCATTCAGATACGAATACTGTTTTATCCATTCAATCTGCTTGCATAGTGCCATACACTTTTATATAAAATAATATATATATATAATAATAATATACATTATGGCTAAATAACACGAGAAAACAATTTAATTTATTTAATTGACAAAAACAATATCATAATGTAAATAACGAAACTAAGGAACTACATAACATTTTTTCTCATATCTACATCGATAGTACTCGTTTACTTTATGTTTTTTCTCTCTAAAAATGTAATTTACAAAAACACAAAACAAAAGTACAATACAAAAAGAACAACAATATTAATTATAATACGATTTAAACGGCCTCGAGAGTGCGTGGAGTTGGAACGTCGTCGTTTCTTGGTCCCGTAATATATGATTTGTCTTCTGAAAATAATAATAATACATATTTTACTAATACAAATCAATGGAATGATTATATGGGTATATCTGTTGGAACTAAATAAACAATTATGACACTTGACGTAACACAATACACCAACCAGATATAATAATGTAGTCCAAAATTTTTATTTGGTTACAACTGTTTCAAGTTATACGTCGTACGTAGGTGTTAAATATATGTATAATTTTTAAGAGGACGCTACACCCGCATGGCTGAATGCATTGTCTTCGTCTTACAAACAGGACAATTGAACGTTTTGGATAATCTATTTAACGTTGTTGTGATTAATACTAAAGCGAATTGACCTATTTTTAAATTTAGAAGTTAGAATATTATCTTGTGCACCTCTTAGGTTTTTTTGTATATTTCAAATTAATCAAGGTTATGAGTATTTTAAAATGCACGAACAATTTACAATTTAAAAATACTAGTAGCGCCCTCTTAACAGATAATGCACCTTATATTCCCCTTTTTATATTAAAAAAATTAAATACCTAGAAAAAGAGTTTTTCTTTTTAATAATGTTAACTTCGACTTTAAGTTATTTTCTTTGACATTTTCCACTGAAAATGCTCAGATAAGAAATTTCTAATTTTCTCCATTTCCAACTATTCTCGAAACTTTGATTTTTAATTTTTGGTTCTAATGCATTAGATAATAGAACGGTATCGAGAAATAGTAACAAACCATTGTTTGAAAAACTTGTCAATTATGTGGACAATCGTCAGACGTTAAGTCATAGTACATCTCTCTCGAATTTTTTTTATCTTTGTGTGATATTTGGAATGGTATAAACCATAAACTTATTTTGTCAGTTTAAAGATCTTAAATTTACCTAACAACTAATATTGGTAATTATATATTATGTATCTGAAGTAAGTGCTTATTAGTTATTTGGTTAGATTGTATGCTGTAATATTAATAGGTACCTACAATTTTATGTAGAAAGATTTATAATATCAATATAAATGTTTGAATTTTTAATACTGACAATGTTATCTGTAAAATGTGCATTTTAAACTTTATCATTAATACTGTAGATAACGAAGTGCCATAATCCTTATAATTTTATAAATCGGGGTAGTTATAACTTATGACTTATGAGCATCAAAAACTACGGTCTTTTCCGATTTTAAAAATTTTTCAAAGCCGAGTACTCGATCAACATTAAAAAAGACCTCAACTCTTAGAAGCGGTCGAATGGAATATAATTATTATGATACTTATTACATAACATTTTGACATTCTATTATTTCGAATTTGATATAAAATACATATTTTGCTAGGGAAATGTGCTAGGATAGGTATGTTATGACTTTATGAGTTATGACTTATGAATATAGGTCATTATTCTAATTAAAAGAATCTTTAAATAAAAATTTTAAATTATAATATTGTCGTTAATACAAACCTACTCTAAAATATATGAAACTTCTAGAAGAGTTTATATAAAAGTTCCCACAAGAAAAATATACCGTAATAGAAAAAAAACCTACATTTTGAACTATAATCATAGTACCTAACAGCTAATAACTTATTAATGATTTCAAATGAATTATACTAAATTATTATAGGTTTGTACTTTATAGGCCTTGAAGATTAGGCGTACTAAAAGTTTTTATTAATTTAATTTTATACCAATGTGTTACAACTTACATTAAGTATATTAATAATAAACTGTATTTTATGCTCGTCTTACTCGACTTAAAGGCATCGTGATTTCACATATAATACATTTAAGAGAAATTAGTTTTATATATATTATTAGTAGATACCGTCGATCGAAGAGAATTTTGATGTAGGTGCACACTGCACGTAATAGGAAGGTAGGTACATAAATAAAATCGTCGAGACAGCACTGATGGCTGCAGTGTTCAATAGCGATCTCGTGAATTTTTTATAAAGTATATACTGTAAACTTACACAATAGACTAAAGGTACGTCGTCGTAAATCTATTCTTTTCTCCTCTACCAATATATTTTTACTTTTTTTTGGACGCGTGAAATATTTTCAAAAATATATAAATACCTATTGCATCATGCCATCATGTATCTCATTATGTAAATGTCGACCAAAGTTGGTTGGTTAAAGGTACCTACCTACCTACTTATCTATGGGCTAAGCCATGTGCCCATATGCCATTTGATATTTAAGAACAACACTTAATGTAATATAATGTGAGTTATAACTTGTAACTAATACTTGGAAATAGTATGTATCATATACTTTAATATACGTGTATTGTTAAACGAGGAGTTCAACGTTTTTTGAAGAATGTTTGTCGGGCTACAAGTTTTTCTTTTTGTGGACATGAAATATGAGAATACCTCATTTTTAGGTAGACATAATAAATATTTTGTTTGAATAGTATTGTGAAATACGCTATCAACTGTATAGACTATGGATATTTCATTACATAATTAGTTTATATTTGTGATAATTAAAAATTAATAGAAATTAGAAATGTAGAAAAAATATTTATAGATGAACTTTGATTTAGAATAAAAGTGCGTTTAAGTGACTATAGTACAACACATTTTTGAATGGTTTCTTCATGTAAAAATATGTTTCAGAAAATATTGAAGCTTGACGTGTTCCATCAGGTAATATTGTAAATATATAATCATCAGCCATTAACTATGTAGAATGTTCACAGAATATTTTGGTAATAACTAATAAGTAATAGCCAATAACATTATACCGGAGTTAAGTTCACATTATCTTTCAAATATCGAGATAGTTGACTTGATATTTTAGGGGTAAATTACTAAACTACCATTAAAATGTACCTAGAAATAATTAATCACTAGTCATTACTCATTACCTATAGGCTACAGAAGAGTAGAGCCTAGTGAAAATGTTCAACTTTAATTTTGTTATGTTTTTTACTAATAACAAAAACTTAACGTTACAAACTTTTATCAATGTTTATTTTTTTAGTGGATTTATTATAATTCGTCTGTCTAAATCAGTGCAGAATTATGATAGTACCCATGTATTTGGGTAAAACATGTTTATTAGCCGTCAATTAGGTATACGTAGTTTATGTGTGTATAGGTTCTAGGAAATTGATGAGTCCGGCGCATAACACTCTCGATAATCTTTTATAGATCAAAGCGGAAATTTATAATATAGTATTTATTTTTATTCATAAGAATGCTAGCGGAGACATAGGATATCGGGATATATTTATTTTAATATAATAAAGTATTATTTTCACTATAACATAACACATCAATAAATCTATTATTTAATTTTACTGGGTTTATGTAGTAATACTAATTAAAAATATAACACTTAGATTACTTTGCGGTTTACCTATTTTAGTCAGTCAGACAGATAGACAGACAGATAGACAGCTAGCTAAATATATCTGTGAGTGTTTCATGCAATATGACATTTCGTTTTGTGTGTCTTAAAATAATAAAATAACAGTCATATATACCTACAATTTTGAATACAACTTTTATGGTATGCAAGATAAACAAGGGGGAAAATAATAAAAAAGATCGTTTAATTTATACAAACAAATTTAAGATTTCCAAACTAAAAACCCCAAAATAAGATTTGTGTGTGAGCCCATCTTAAAAACTGATTTTTTTTAAAATCCCTTCTTATTGCACATATAGAGCGTTATAGAAACCACAAATTCGAATTTCAAGTCTATAAGTTTTGTCATTTTTCAGAAATAACGATAAATGAGTGGTATTTGGCTTTCATATTATATAGGTATATCTATTAGATTACTATATATTATTGACTCACCTACGTCATCGTAGTCTTCAAATCCGTTTTGGCGGCGATGGCACTGGCAAAGACGAAACGCATGCCAATTAGAGGTACTCGACGATGTCACACTTGACCGCGATGTTGGGACACGACGCGATCGACGCCCTGTTGTGGTGGTGCGGTGGGTGCTGCTGTTGGTGAGCGTTATGTGGGTGGCGGTGGTGCTGCTGCGACGTCGACGACAACGAATCGTGCGCTCGCCTCTCGGTCAAAAGCTTTTGGAATATCGGCAGAATGGCCACGTCAAGCAGCTCGCCCTCGGACAACGTGTTCACTCGGGACATGCCAGCGCCGCCAAGCGTCGGCGGCAAACCGGGTGCGTTTGTCGGCGACCCTCCTCCCGTTGAGCCTCCAGACTCGCGCCTCCGGCCATGGTACACATTGGGTGTGCTGTGCATATGTGGCGCCGACGGCCGCCTAAGCCCCGGGCCCCGGTTTCGAGACGACGATGATGACGCGCCACCGCCTCCACCGCAAGATCCGCTCTTCTCGGACACCGAACGGTGCATGGAACTGCCTGTCGTCAGCGATGATGAACTGTCATCCTCTAAGGTACAAACAAAACAGTTTTTTTAAACATTTTTGTATACAAATATTCAAAATGTAATTGTTTTATGGACAACCCCATACCTATCATAATCTATACAACTACATTTTTTGTTGAAATTTAAAAACATAAAACCTTCACGTGTTTTATACATTTTACTATACGCAATGACATATTCAAAATATTTTGATTAGTTGTAAGTTATTTCCTATTTATTCCATGGACCTATCACACAGTTAAACGTTAAGGTGGTATTGTATCAAAAGTTAACGAAAGTAGTTTAATATTATAATGTGATACAAATGTACTTATATACACTATAAGAATAATTAGATATTAATTAATATAATAAATGCAATAATTTTAGCGAAAATTAAATCAACCTACCATCATAATACTAATAGTAAAATAAGTTACATTAATCACATATTATGAAATATATCTGATATAGGCTGATAGACCATCCACAGTTCCATACTCAGAAACGTTTTTCGTTAAATTTCAATTTAACACATCCATTACAGTGACCCATTCCATCTCCACTGTACCCACTTGTCCAATTTTTTTAAAAATCATTTAAGATTCATTTTTCACTAAGTATTTAAAAAAAAATAATAATCAGTTGAGATTTTAAAACTAATTATATTGAAAAGTTTATACTTTTACAATATTTATATTATTGTAACGGCATTATTCCTCCAAGACAAATGTGCGAACTACAATATTATTGTCTTTTTACTATTTGCGTTTGGTTTATGGTTTGAAAGATAAAATATGTAGATACTGAGACATTGAGTCAAATTAATAGTATTTTTTTCATCTAACATAAAAATATCATTCCTTCACACAAATAAACCACATGCCTAAAAAAAAATAATGTGTATAAAAAAAGGGAACCAATTTAAACTTTCTTATTCTGAGTTCACCTCCAAAGAGAGCGGGACTCATCGATTTTTTATCTCAAATAATATCAGAGTACTTCACTATAGCTTTATCATATTATAAGATAAAACAATATTAGTGTTCATTAGGTGGTTCTATGCAGGAGAAGGAATATTATTTAAAATAAGCAATATAGAAATTTAAATTTAAGATTATACTTCATAACATTTTTTTTACCATGGATGAAATATCAAGCGCAATGATACCACAGTCGATAAGTAACGGATCTGTTGTGATTCTACAGTTTCACATGGAACTACGCATAAGAAAATATTTTGTCTGAATGAATTTTGGTTAAAGATACCTACCGATTTTTTGGTTTTAAACTTTTTTGTTTGAAGTATTTAGTAAGTAATAAAAAACAATTTAATTGATTAAAATATTGTTGATAAAAAAAAATTATTAATATTTGTATAAAATACAGAAACAGATAATTTAGTGTTGGTTAATTAGTTATGACTTATGATCATAATTCATAATTTTTTACGTATCAATAAAAACAGTGAAAATATTAACATTGACTACTAGCTATGTCACTCAGTCACTCATTGGCAATCTAGGAGAAAAAAATACTGTTTCGTATTTAAGTCATAAATAATGAGCTTAAATCAACCTTAAATAATGTGTGACTTAATTAAAAGAGGAGAACTTCATCTACCATTATTTAATGATGTTTTAATTCGAAATTCGCATAATATATTTGAAATACTTTGCGCTAAAATTACAATAATGACGAAATAAAAATAAAAATATTGTAAAAACAATAAAATATTGTACTTGGGTTTTTTAAAGAATAGTTGTTATTCATTTAAACTGCATCTCTTTTAAAAATTATACTGCGTTGGACAAGTTGATAAAATTATTGAGAACCGTAGCTTTTTGCAACATCAAAAGTCAGATATTGTAGTTGGGTACGAGTTTTCAATGGACGACGAATACGATTTTCAATATTCCCTCTGCTGCAATAATTGAGAACAAGCTTTTAATGAAGTATGGGTGGTGTCGGGGTGGAGCCGAGAAGGTGATTCGCCAGCTTATAATAGATATCCGTGGTTTGTATGATCTATCATGCCTACAAACCCCTATGAATAAGCGGCACTTGGCTCTAATCGCTGGTGGAACAACAATTAATCACAATTTTTCTGCAGGGCCATTAAATATGACAAGTTTGTTTCTCAACATTTTTTCTGGGGCAGGAGCAACTGCCCCTCATTACACCTCCCCCCCAAGTACTTCCTATGATCCTATAGTCTAATATGGGATATCACTACTTTTGAATCGCCCCTATAGATGGTGACAAACTGACAATCCTCGGGGTGTATGTTACTGTGGTGGTGGGTCGTCGTGGGAGCCGGATAGGTGTTTGTGTTGATAAATCTCAAATTTTTGGACGCCGTGATTACCGTCGTCGGTCGGCGAATCCGCATTATTGTTGAGCAAGCCTCTGGTGACGGGCGGCGGTGACCGGTTCGCGTGTCGTTGCGTTTGCGTCAGCCACAGCTCGTCCTGGTGCACGAACGTGGGTTGTTGGCACGTTCTCTTGGTCTGCGGCATCGACGGCCGCCTGTGCGCACAACTGGCCGCCGCCGTGTGGGACGCAGCGGCGGCCGACTGGTGTTGTGGCGTCGTCACATTACCACTGGCCCGCCTCTGATGGCCTGTGCCGCACGACTGCAAAAGGGCACAAACAATATTACAAACGTTAAATCATTTTTCCCGCTGCTTGTCGTTGCAGCCTATTCCATCATAGGTACTTATTTAAAAAAAAAATTCAATCTTCAAGATATTTTACTTTTCTCAATTCGCTTCACCCTAACGATATCTCCAAAATATATAATATGTACCCGTTCAAAAAAAAAAAAAACCACTATAGGTACCGCTAGAAAAATAAATAACAATTATTGATATTATTGTTATTTATTTTAGACATACATTTTTGATCAAACAATTTCGTGATATGAAAAAAAAACATTCTGACAATAATATTTTTTAATTTCATCGTTTTATGACTGTCTGGATCCCTCTTCGCAGTTTCACCGAAACGAATAAAAAGTTACACTTACCCTAGCACTTTCGTTATTATTATTAGGTATATTGTTAACCACATGAAATGTTTCCATTACAAATAACTAATAAGTATTAAATTGAAACATCGAACATAATTATTTTGACTTTGACCCAGAACGTTGTAATAATTATATAGTTTATTTGCAGAATATGGAATTTTCGTAACAAATGGATCAATAGAGAGAAAAATACTTTTTATTCTTTAAGTATTATTTGAAAACGTTTTCGTAATTTGTCGGAAAGTTACATTATTTTCCATTTAGAATAAGAATTCATTTTAATATTCCGGCCCTGACAACTTCTTCTAAAAAGACAATATAAATTATGTCAAAATAAAGTTAGTAAAAAACAAAACAAAACAAATAACCTTTTTTTGTGTGTAATATTTTTACATTTTTCTTTTTAAAAAAAGTGTACAATAAAAAGTTCGAGCTCTGAGAGAAAATGCTATTTTACATACTCGTGTAGGAGACGGCGTGAAGCTCGCAGGTTCGTCTGGTGGTTTGGCCGGTTCGATAGAAATAGATGGGATCCTGGTATGCCTTTGACACGTTTTTCTGAAATCGAAAATCATTGATTGTTGGTACTGTTGGAAAATAGCGTAATTTGCTTTCAAATTTTTGATTGGAATTCGATATAAGTATACCTTACTATAGTTTTATCAAGTATTTAAAAATTAAAAATGAAAAATTCAATAAAATAAAGAACTTATTGTCACTAGCGGGTGACTTATTATAGTATAGTTAGTATAGTTGTTCTATAATAACATGTGGGCCGTCGTTAAATACCGCACACTTATCATTCATAACCACACATTTGGTTGACAGTTAATAAAAAATGTATTCATTATTGTTATAAAAAATTTGTCATAAAAATAATTGAATACCTATAGATATGAGAATGTATAATTTTAGTATTAATAAAAAATAAAGTTTGCATAGAAGCCAGGTATAGTAGATATAAGTACATATTACTTAGATTAGAATAAATTTAAATCCTAGTTTTTTAAAATATTCTATTAAACTTATTTCATTGTTAATGAAACGATCATATAAAATGTTATTGTGATTTACATTTAACTAATAATGACACATCGAATTTCTTTTGAATCTGCATTAGTTTCTTTGTTTTCGTGGTTATGATCACTTCTATTTCACTTTATTTTGATTAGATAATATGATTAACTGGTGAGCGGTTCTAAACGGTAATGCGATTTTAGATAAATGTGTGTGGTATTGAACTATTTGATTTTGGGAAAACTGAGAGGAATTTTTGTATAAAAGTGTGCGGATTCGAACGATGACCTTTTTTGAAAGTGTGCTGTTATGACGACCGACGTAACACGTAATAATTATGTCTTCGTAATTGTTTTAAAAAAAGATCATTAAATTAAATTGTTGAACAAGGGTGGAAAATAAAATAGTGATCCATTTAAATGTTTCTATAAAATATAATATAAATAAGAAAAACATTAAGTTATGTTACATCACGGATTTTAAGAATCAAACAGAAATTGTTTATACAGGCCTAACTCTAAATGGTTACATTACTCAACGCTTTTAAAATATATAACCTATATAAATATTGTTTCGGCAATGCCTAAATATTATTTTTTGGCGCTTAACAAAGATAATTAGGCTAAGTGTAAAATATCGATAAATATTACTTTTCTGGAGAAAACTGTTCTGGCACAAGTACTTCAATAACACCATTTGAATCTTCTTCTTGGATAACATCAACTTTAGTCTGTTTCTCTTCAGCTATTTTTTTCAGTTCTGTAATTTGATTTACATATAAAACATTCATAATTTACAAAGTCATATTCATGTCAAAATAAATTCCAATAGTAATTTTTAATAATCGTAAACTAACTGATTTCTGACAACTTAAGAGCCCGGAACGTATCAATCTTTAACACCATCGCATCGATTTCTCGATCCACGTCCAATATTTGCTGTCTGTATTGTTGATTTTTATTTTTTTGTGCTCGAATTTGTTCTTCTGTGTCACAAACATCCTTATATGTCTTAGACATTGGCCTTAAAGTAGCTCGTATTCGTTTATCTACTCCTTGTGGATTCCTTTTTAACTCTACAATCTGTATAAAAATAATAATTTTAGAAAGAGTAGTTGTATTCTAGTTCGATTTTGCATAAATCAACAACTTAGTTGTTATATACTTTTGAGTACATGGTATATTAAGTAATTAAAATTCTTTTAAATTAATTTTAGAGAATTTGGCGAATTTAATGAAATAAGTTTTTTTTTTGCATTCATAAGACGATTGTAAAACTTCAAATTATCAAAACACCGTGCTGTATCTATCATTTCTGATAGTTTGAAATGAGTATTTTCATGGGATAATCTCAGTGCAGGTAGGTACCTGTTATACAACTATAGGCACCGGAGAGATGGTGCTGGTACAGTACAAATACGGCGACATAGAAACGGGAATGGTTACAGTGAAATTCACATATTATATCTGGTAGGTACTCACTTTCGGTATGAACACCAGGAAAAGCGTGGCAGTGGAACAAAACAATATAAACACTGATATGATGATGAAAGATGCGTCCTGTTGGTCGCTCAGGACGAAAGAAATTGCAGCGCCGGCGACGCACATCAATACCACGTTATACACGCTCATACCCACGTACTTCGAGTCGTTTAACGCGGGTATGCTCACGTGTCGGGTTTCCCAAGCTAGAAAAGCTCCAAAGACCTAAAACGCCCACGCAAAATAAGTTTCATACTTTAGGCCGTCTTTCATCTACAATGATAATAGAAAAAAAAAAAAAACAATAACAAAGAAATAACGTTTACGTACCATTAGTGATCCCTTGTAGACGTATATGATGGCGAGAAATACGGTCATGTGATCGCTCTGACAGTACTCGTTACATGGGATGATCACAATGTCGTCACTGTGAGGGTGTGGCTGTAGGAGTATACAACGTTTGCATAAATATGTGGGTAATAATAAAACATCGTGATGGGTACACGAGTAAATATTTTAGTAATGTCTATTGATCATAATTATTATTTTAAACTTCTTCCATTTTGAGCTATGATACGATATATAACGCGTTTTTGTATTAGAATAATTGCGTGATGCACACGTTCGGGCCTAGATATATACATTATATTTAACTGCTATAGTTGGATCATTATTATATTAATTTGTGAATTACAATTCACAGTTATCATTTCATTCAAAATATAAATTGTTGCTGCAAAAAAGAGTAACACTATCTTAAATAGTTACATCGTATGGAAAAAAAATGAAGGTTATGTCACGTGCTATTATAATTGCATTATTTGTATACACTTATTAGTGGCACACTGGAACCAAGGTTATTCCCTATGATACTTTTTGTGTTTTCGTGACCTCTGAATAATTGGATCAAGCGTGAACACGAAAGACCGCGAGTTTTGCTAAAGTTACTCTGTGAAAATGTTTTTTGGATCGTTCGCGACACCACACCCATTATATATTATTCTGGAGACTATACTACCCGAGGTTAACAACAAAGTACAAACACGTATCCACCATGGCAGAACTAACCAAGTGTGCTTTTAATTTTAAAACAGTACAAAGGATTCATTTACAACCCTTTTTTTTCTTGTTGCTCGTTGTTTTAAAAAATATATTTATGTAATTATTTTTTTCATCAACTGCTGTTTTAAATATTTTACAATGTCGTTTTTGGTGGTTGTTTTATTTTTTTCTAGGAACGATTTTTTGTAAGCTTATTATTTATGTACATACTTTTTAGTTATAACTAAAGTAATTGAATAAATATTCTTTTGATTAAAATTATAATTCACATTCACACATTATATATTAATTCAAAGGGAATTCTAAGATATTTTTTAAAAATATTTCTTTTTTTTGTACATTTTTTATCAAACCGGATTACAAAAAATAGTTACACTATAGACTTGAAAAGGTTCAATTTGTCGTGAGAAGTTTCATTTCAAATTTCATAATGTACTATGAAGGTTTTTAAAAACCTTTTTATGTTTCTTCAAATCGATATACATATATAATATATATGCATATTAGACTAACATAATGCTATAATTATAATTTTTAATATTTTATATAATCATATACAATTATGACTGGTTGAGGTATATTTATTTTAATATTATTTAAAATTTAGTAATTTTATCTCAGTGTTCTTTATGATATAAATAGTCATTGGTTATTAGTTACATGGTTATAAAGTAACAAAAAAAAAAAAAAACCAGCAACTTGATTAGTATTAAAATTAATCATTTTTTCTAATTCAAGTGGTTTCCAATCACAATTTAATTTGCTTATTCCATTCGTCTAAAAATTGAATTGAATATTAATATCTAATATAATATACTACAGTCTTTAACTTTATAACTGATTACTATCACGTGTTACTATGTACCTATGCCCCCTAGTTAATTTTTTCTACTCACCCTCGTAAATACACCTTCGTTTATAATTTGAATGGAAATTAAACTTTTAAGTCTAAACTATTTGGATTTGTCAAGTACTTAGTTAATGTACTGAAGTTAAAATGGATTTGTATTTTGTTGACATAAACAGTTACGTATATAAACTTAAAATTTACGTTTATGTAGGTATTATTATCGTTGGCGTGAAAGATATTCGTAGGTAGTTTTAAGGCTTGGGATTATGAAGGAAAACAGTAGGTTATGTCATTGTATACACGAGGTTGATGTATTTTAATATTCACTCCCATGCTTCAAGTTTTTACTCACGTATGATTCCATTTGTTTAGTTTCCCTGTAAAATGGATCTGAAAACTGCCACGTGAACATTATTCCTAAGTCGATGCATAACAATATGCCAACCATGAGGAAAAGCTGTGTATCTTTTACGATCTGTAACATTCAAAATAATTCGTTTTGGTATATTGTTTAATAAATAACTTGAAACTTGTTTTTGATTAAAAAAAATCTTAAAAGATAAATGTATATAATACATTTATATTATATATCCACATTCCACATCCGTATTAAAACATTAAAGATTTTGGTGTTTGATTTATTTGTATTGTGCTTTAGAACTTTAATATTAAAGTTTGGCATTGCTCAGAGGATATTTCTAAAATTGTTGTACCGTTTGTGTCACTATTAAGATACTCTGGCAAGTACCTAAACAATAAAAGAATAAAAAGAACAATCAAGAATTGTTTTTTTTTTCACATCGATCTGTTCAACAAACAGTTATTTAGTATTTTGTATATAAAAATAGCACAAAAAAAAAAAATAGTTAAATATAGACTCTTCGTACTATTTTAATTTGGAAATCGAATCGCCGGACCGGTTATCATTTTATATCAGTTTTTTGTTTGGGTTACATCGAACAGCTTCACCGAGCTCACCTTTTTATTGATGGTGATGTCCGTAAAAATGGAGTGCACTCTCCAGGTTTTCGAGAACATCGCACCGAATGCCAATGAAAACCCGGCCATCAGCAACCACGCCCGCGCTGCACATATGTATGGAAACATGTTAATACTGGTCATCCGGCTGTTCAGACCCAGAAATATGACACTGCTGTACGTCAACATAGCTCCGATGATTATTAAATTGTTCAAGTGTGGGCTGGACATTTTGATGTACCTGAAACATGCGACAAGCGTGTTGTAGTCGTTGATATGTTTTGTGTTACTTATAATAATACTTATAAACATATAATAATGTATATATAAATATTCATTATTATCGTCTCTACATATCCTGTAATATATTATATATAGGTGCTATTTTTATACCTATTGGTAATAATTGGTACACTCGCGACTTATTCAATAATTATAATTTTCACGCACACCTAGAGCTGTTAAGTACCTCATGTAGGTCTTTTTGTTCATACAAACATCAATAAACACTGATTATACAAAAATTAAAACAAAAAAACAAATGACATTAAGCATTTTGTATAGGTACACTATGGAAATTCGTATAAAAATTAAAGTCACTTTTAGAGTAATTCTCATAACGAGCCATAAATATTTTATTAACATTTTATGACGTCTAAACGATAGTTTTTTTCAGTTTTTTTTCCGGAATGTATTACAAACGTATACTGCTTAATTTAAATACCTACTTCAATGAATATGAGTTCGTAAAGTTTGTTTAAAATAGATTATAAACGTATGAATAAGAAACCTGAAAAAGTAGGTTTATACCGAAATTTACGATGTGCTTTACACAAAAAGAAATAACAATTAATTTGATAAATAAAACTAAGAAAGGGACTCTTATTTTAGTGTAGATCTATATGGAGTTTAATTGCTGTCGTTCCCCTTTGAAAGGATCACTGTGTGGTTTGAAGCTATTGTTTCCTTTGTTATTACCTACGTGGATATGCATAAGTAGGTACGTTATAAAACATTTACAGAATACTTAATTGCAGCATTATTGTTTCGAAAATATAAAATTAATATTAGTTATATAAATTTATAATTTACTAGCTTGAAATAATAAATTTAATTTGGATGATCGACATTGTGTTGTACAAAAATATTCAAAATACGCATAACTGTTACAAGTTGATCAAAAAAATTAAATTAATTATATTAAAAAGCATGTATAGATGATTTCATTTTTAATTAATTTATGAATGAGTAATGTAAAGATTATTTTTTACGTATGATACATACGCAATTAATTTTGAATGCATAATTATATTATGTGAATTATAAGTTAAATTCGTTAATATTTTGATACATTTAAAATAATAAATACATATATTATACAATGTTTTATTTTTTAAATATTGTCTGAATCTAAAATATAGTCTGTGGATTGTGTTAAGAGGACACTACACGGTCATTTGTTGTTTCCATCTTACAAGTGCTTAACATACTAAAGGTACGATAAGCAGATCACTTTTAGTTTTGTTAGTTTAAAAATTAGAGTGAATCAACCAATTTTGAAACTTGATGGTAAGAGTATTATCTGTTTTTATATGTGGAGTTTTTAACGATAATTCGATTTTAAGTGATTTATATATTATTTTTAATTTACGCTATATTATATATGTGCAAAATTCGCTAAAAAATTTAACTACCTTTAAATACCCACATATAAGTACAGATAGTTCTTACCACCAAGTTTCATAATAGGTCGATTCATTCGTATTTTTAAACTTACGAAGTTATACATGATCTGCTAAACTTTTTCCATAGCGTCGCACTAGTAAGACGGAGACAACAAATGCCGGTGTAACGTCCTCTTAAGTTAAGATAATTATTAATTTTATTTTATACACTGATTAAAGAACTTGCTTCAATACATATGGGTATAATGTAACAAATAATCAACGAAAAATGTTAAAAAGGTGGTAGTGTTGGGACCTAATCCCTAACATAATTTCTACCCAACGTGCTTTATTAATAACATTGTAAGTGTATCGTTAATAATCATTCTATAATCATTTAATTATTTTAATTTAATTTAACTTTCATTATTTCTCTTAACAACTGTCAAAGTTCCTTCACTGGAAGGTCTCTTAAATCAGTAACTCGAGTCATATAACCACTGTCATCACTTAAATTTATTGTTTTTATATGTAACAGATTGTGGATTATATTATGAAGTAATTAAAAATAATTTAATTTTCAATGATTATTAACACTAATTATACTTGCTAAGTATTTTTGAAAATTATTTAATGGCTTTCTTAAATTAATTTTTTTTAGTGCTTCTTTGATACTGTTTGAATTTTAAAACATTTTACGTGCTTCGTTTGTTTTGTTTTATTGAATTTTGTTCACTAATAACATTGACATTTGCATAGTTTTAAATTAATTATTTAATTCAGCACAAAAGGTTTAGAAATAATGTCTAACTTACTTATTTTAATACCTTAATATACTTTCATTACTAAAATAATTTAATTTAAATTGTATCTACTGTATGTACTCGTTAAATATTTTACATTTTTTAACGACGGTAGGTTAAATTAATTTATACCTAGCAAGTTAATTGTGGTGCACAACGGTTAGGTTAGGTGAAGTTTTTTTTTTATAACTTATATAGAGACTACACCACTTACTTTTGATCTCTGTACCGTATGTTGACAATGAGGAACGCAGTGGCAATGACGATACCAACGACCGCGGCAACGGCAAGTCCTATGTAAACGCCAACGTTAACATGAGAGTCTTCGTAAATAGTAAGAGTCCGATCTTTAGGTGGTCCTTTGCCACCGGCTCTCCACTTCACTTCTTCGCCAACACTCAAGTCTAGTGTGCCCGTCACTCCGTTATACTCTCCAATCTTCACTTCTTTGTCCCCTAAAGTAATATTTTTTTATAAATATTTAATGTAAGAAATATACGGTTTTTGTGTAAACGACGTGTTTTAAATGAGTAAAAATAATATTTTTTGTTGAAAGATTAGTGATAGTGATTTAGTATCGACAAATCGGGTATTATAAATGTATTTATATTAAAATATTAGTTTATACTAAAATCGTCGTACTTGTGTACCTACATAACTATTTGCAACCTGTAATTAATGGTTAAAAAAAACTACCTACCAGAAATAGTGTAGAGTCAAATTTGATCAAAAATTGACTTTTTAACAATGTTTGAGATAAATAAATATAATATATTTTTATTGACAGTGTTTATATTTTATTTTAGGGAGTATAAATTAATAATATATATTTGCGGTGAATACAGCTACCTTTGATCCCAAAAAATGCATGATGGCCAATGGGGTTCTATGCATTATAAATAATATAATATTCATGTAATATAATGTGTGGTTATAATATACAGATATACGAGAATTTAGAAATGTGAAATCTTACGTATAATATTCAAGTAATTTGAATTATAAAGGTAATTATTTGTTCATACTGTTTCAACTTTTCAAGTATTTTAACCAAAACCAACTACCACCACTCGTATTTACTAATACTAAGCAAAATATGATGTTTGTCATAAATATTTTACTGCAATAACTAGTGAAAATGTAATTTTGTCTCTATAATGTATCCAACAGTAGCATAGTTCAAGGAGTGTAAAATGTGAGTTGTTATATTGAAAATTCAGATCACTAGTCAAATAAATAAATATTTAATGATTCATCATGAAAAAAATTGTACTATATTTTTCTTTATTGAAATTATTGTTGTAACTTGTAAGCAATATTTACTTTTTAATTTTACTACCAAACCTAAACATAAGCAATAATTAATTTTTACTTCTACTACTTAAACTTTACTACTGACCGAAAAAACAAGCCAATCCTTTAATGTTACTCTTAAAAATTTAATATAAAACCATGAAATATGAATGTTTGATATTTTGGATTCACGGTGATAGTAGGAAGCCAAACATTTAAAACCAGTTATCAATAATGCTTACTTAATGGTTTTGAGTATATAAGTACTACAGATATTTATATGGACGTGTTTAACTGTTTAAGAATTTACGTGAAGAGTCTTAGAGTATAAGTTTATTTTTAAATAAATAAACAATTAATACAATTTACTCTACATTTTTTTAATCGATATATTCTATGATTAATAATGCATTTCAATGAATGACGAATGATATAGAATGAAGAAAAATTCAAGAAATTGAAATCTCATACAGTCTTTTCTTTCTCAGAGCTTATAATTAAGTAAGTAGGTACTCTAAGAAAAATCACTAAGTATCATTTTGATGTTTAGTTATAAAGCGAAATATTTTCTTTTAAAAATGCGATGCAAATGTTAGCTGTATATGTATAGTTAGAATATTAATTTTTTATTTTCATTTTAGTATTTCCTTAAAGAAGAAATTATAAGCTAGTACAAAAAGGAAAAGATGCCAAGAATTGCGTTCTTTATAATAATTCATCAAAGAAAGCTATTGTACATAATTTCAATTGAGTAATTTTACCATAAAAATATCTTCAATATTATGTCCAACTAAACAAGTATACTATAAAGGACTAAAAATAAATTGATAAATATTTTAAAAATAAATTGACGCATTTATGTTTACTTTATATGTTATTTAATTATCTTAATGTTCAAACCTAGAATTTTATTTTACAACTTTATAGTTATGTATTTATTAAAGTTTAAGTTCTAAAACAAATATTTACTAATGGAAGCCAAGTTTATTTCATTATTTGATATAATATTAAATTTTGCTAGTATTAATTTTTTTTATATATGTGCACTTTGTCATGAATAAATTTAGTTAAGAATGTGCTGTAAAAAAATGTATAGTCTCCTTATTCTATGCAGTGAGAATTTGTATTTATATTTGTTAAGACAATTTTTCATTAGGTAGAAATTTAGTACCAAATCAGCTGTTACTGCACTATTGCAGTAAGTTTGTTATTATTAGAGACCATCTACCTGCTGCAGATTGTTTAATTTTTTTTCTTCTAATTGTCATTGATAATAATAAAAATATCACTGTATTCTTTAAAATATTGACATAGTTAAATAAATGAAGATGAAAATGCAAAAATGCAAATATGCAAAAAATGAGAAATTTAAAACATAAATTAAACTGTTTGAATTATAAATCAAGGTTTAATTTAGAAAATTTTCTAGTAATTACTAATTATATATTATATATTTTGAGTTAGTATTCAATTTTACAAAAATATGAAAACTGACAACAATGGCATTTGAGTTAATGATATTTAAATACATAATACAAATGTTTTTTTTTTCATAAAATATAATTAAATCTTGACTTAAATAATAATGTTATTGGAATTTAAATTATTAGTGTTGAAGTGTTATATAATATATTATATATTCATGATATTTTTAAAACTATATATGCACAGTTCTTTTGTACCTACTTTTGTACCTAATAGAATTCCTTTTAAACGGCTAGACCGGTTTCATTAATTTGTTTGTGTGTGTTTGAGTAAGTGGTCCCAAGCCCAGATTAATGATAAATTGGGCCCTGGGACACCATACTCTAAGTGTGCTCTCATTTCAATTTAAACTTTAAAATAATTATGTCACTACATTTTAACGACTGTATATTATTGTATAATTTCGTACTAATGTATCTAAAAATGTATATAAGACTGATAAATAAATAATTATGTAATAATTTAGTATACACTTATTATATATGTATTAGAAGAAAACACTGTATCGGTTGCTAAAGAATTATAATTTCAATTTTTTTCGTTACTTTCTCTTTTGAAAATATTTGTAAAGTTTTATTGAAATCAATCAATTGTAAAATACCATTTCCTGAATATTATATCATTAACGATGTTAATTTTTCTTGAGTCTGGCTTGTTCTAAATTTATTTTTATTCTTGTTAATTTGGAACATGATCTTTCGGGCTTCGGCTGAACAATTGCCAATAATAAAGATTATCACCTACAACAAGCACAGCTCCCGTTTTTTACACTTCGTCCAGACCATTCGAAAACTTCCATGTAGAAATCTATGACTTTATCATAGATATATTATATTTTTTATCAATTATTAGAATATGAATTTAAAAAGTATTGGCATTCACTAATTTTTCGTTATAAAATTAAGAACATTTTTATTAATTAATAAATTAATTACTATGACTACTAAAATAATTTTTTTTTCTAAACTGTTTTGAAAGCATAAAAAAATTATATTTTGGGGATAAGATGGGTGCCCAAAATCAATAAGCCTTGGGTCCGTTCCCCTGCCATCCTTCATCCAGTCTTGAGTGGTCCCCTGGATGGTTTGGATTCACAATTGGACCTGGTAGGTCCAACCCTGAGATTTGCTCAAACGGGGATTTTGAGATTTACGATAGCAATTTTCGACTATAAATGGTTGCTATTGGTTACTTGGGCAGATGAGGTACAACCATGCATAAAATCGTTACATTTATGACTGGAATGAAGAAATTATATGTTAAAACAATTAACATGGGAGTAGAATGTTTATTTTTAGTTAATATAGGTACTATATAGGTACTTAACCGATCTTGTGAACATTTCAAATTGTTCTCGGAGATATCAGGTAAGTTTAGAATAGGTTTATCCAAAGTTAATAGCCTCAAAAACTACTGAATCACTTTCAATAAAAGTAAATCTATAAATTACTTGAAACTTGGAGGGTGCTTATAGCTTATTTTTTCAAGGATTTTTTCTCAGCTTACGAAAAATGAACTTTTTTCTTATTTATGTATATATATATATATATATATATGACGTATGTAGCCATGTACTTACGTACGTACGTATGTATATATGTATGTATGTATGTATGTATGTATGTATGAGAAACAGGAAGATGGAGACACAGAGATAGTGACATTTAAAAATGTAATGTTTCCGACGTTCTATGTAGTTTGTTAGCTAACAAAGATTAGGCAGGTCCACTGTCATGAGAGGAATATGAATTAAAGGGCAGAGATGAGTTTAATATAATAATCTAGATTAGAGACCTTAGTATAGAGTAAGCAGTTACAATTCTGTTTTAATGGACATGATGTTTTTCCGCTGTACCCGGTTACATTAAATGTCCATTTATTTACACTGACCCCTAAACACTTAAATATCAGACAATAGTAATCAATGTAGCTAAAGATTTTACTAGTCAAAAGTACTAAGAATATTTTTATTTCAATAATTAAAAAAAATTGGAATCCAAATAAAATAAAGCCACAGTATTTACTTATGATTGTGTCAATCAAAAAATTGTTAAGTGAATAAGTGATTGAACTACCTAAAAGAATATTTAAATTAGGCATTAGAAAGGCAATCATAAAAAATGAATTACCCTTGACGAAATGCAAGATGTTTTGATAAGTCGCATAATTATATTGTTTTCTATATCAGATATAGGGTTCTGAAATCTAGATATACCGGAAAAAAAGTATGGAATCAGCCTAGGCTCTAGTATTTAGTATTTACATCACTACTGTAGCGTTTGTCCTCGTAGCACTATTGTACTCATACTGTTATACACTTAGTCAATCAACTAAAAACTGAATACATATTAGATGATTAATCTAGAACATTTACTGCCAAAATACCAAGATTTAAGAATGATAAATTAATCTAAAATCTATATTTTTAATAGATACATTAAGAGTTCAGATTTTCTGGTATAAATATATATACGATTTTACTGATAATTACCTTGAAATTGTTTCAATAATATACTGGCTTTTCTTTCGTTGTTGTAAAATCTCACTGGACCCTGATATAAATTGAATATTGAAAATTAACCATATCAAACAGTAAACACACACATATTGTGCATAATGTAATTTATTACCGTGACTCCTTCGAAACTAGTTTTTGTGAGAGCCTCTAGGAAGAGATCCTCCCACTCTTTGTCCCTGTACTGAAAGTCTGCTATGGTTCTATTCAAGATGCCTTTGTCGTGCGATGATTGGTGCACTTTACGGGCTACTTCCTGTATAGCTAAAGCGGCGGTCCATACTCCGTCGTAAGTGTACCCGTGAAACCGGGAGTATTCACTTCCACGCCTCATGTCGTACTCTTGCTGGTATTCTTTTGAAGTCTGTAAATAAAAAGTAGTAAGTACACCCGTCGATTTCGCGTAAAATTTGAATCAATTAGGAACTCATTCAATCATCTATCATGTTTATCGAATATGTGCGGAAAAATATTTTATACTTGGTTCATACAATTCGTTTATTCGTCGTGAAACGCAATACAGTCAAAATATAATAATTTAAATATGTCGTTCGATACCAATGATACTTATGTGAGTTATGAATCCAACTAATATTGGTGCAAAATTGATTAGAAGCGTAATAAGATATTTTATGTTATGTATTTTCTAATGAAATTTGGAATGAAATATCTGTAATTTTCTAATGAAATAAACTATAATATGTTTACCTTACCAAAAATGTATGGTAATTTTTTTTAAGCTTTATGGTCTTAAATCTAAAAATACCACATAGAAGTCACTTATTTTTATTATTCATATATACAAATATGAAAATCTTATACATTAATCAGTCCACAATTTCCACACTAGATTAAAAGAAAAAAGCAAGTAAATCCCCCCTGTATGTAAAAAATTGTTTAGTATGATGACGCATTTAAATATTGGTACTAATTTAATACTCGATAAAAATATTAATATTGATTCTTTTCCAACGTGAGATTAGTTTAAGACTTTTATTAAAAATTCAATTTAAATATATTATTGTTTATTGGTTTTCAATTTAATTTAAATTTCAGTTTTGTACTTACAGGTATTTAATTTTATTTAAATATACAAACATATTGTTTTCTTTTGGCGCTTTGTTATTGTTGTTATTATAGTTTATCTTACTGTTAATTAAAGACTCACCCAACCTAAAACTTGTTTACTTAGAGATTGTGTCAGAAAGTATTTTTTATTTAAAAAAAATTATATGAGTATTCAAATATTTTTTAAATAAAGTTCTTCTTTTTATTTTATTATTATTAACACATCTTGTACTTGTAATATTTCATTTTTTAACTTTTAAACCTTATACGATTGAAATACTTTTAAAAATATAAACTCTGATTCCCTAATTGCATAAAACTGTAATTATATAAATAAATAATTTTTTCTTTGTAAAACACCAACAAACGATCATACGTTTTCATGGGCGTAGGTAGGAAATATTTTCGGAGGGGTTTTTTGTCTAAATCCTAAATAATATGCGAACAATATGCGATAATATTCTCGAACAAATTCACAAAAAGCTCAAGATTGTTTTATTTAATTTCGGGGGGTGTTTGAACACCCACCCTCCTTACCTACGCCCATGTACGTTTTTAGGTTGAAACAACATATATATAGACTAGGAGATGGCGTGGACCACCGAACGATGCTGCAAGACAAAACAATGCCAAGGCTACACCCACTATTACTAAAATTACTTAGCTTAATAACTAGTTTTAATGAATAATCTTATCTGTAATAATTGATATTTGGACATTTTTTTTTACCCATTATAACACACTTGCAACGTACAGTGTATGTTGATGTCATTCGTTTGTATATTAACCTTATATCTATGAAATAGATTGTCGGGTATAGGAAATATGTATTGTGTGCAAAAGCTCCACCTCATCGGTGTCCTCACTTTCTACCACCTCTGCGTCCGCAATCGCATCTTATATGACTAATTATAATTATTTATTAAGTATATTGCCGGCCTCCCACCAATAACTGTCCCCAACGACGACGACACTGACTCACGTCGGCCCGACCATTACTGGCTTTCTCTTCTCTTCCTGTCACCTACGGATTCTCACCGGCGCCACATACCAAACCGTTTTGTCCGGCGATATCCACCGGAAGAGGGTGTTGATTAAAAGGATGATCAGACATCGACGGGAGTCTGATCCCTTTCGATGTTATCAAGACGCAAGTACGTCTTATTGTTATTATTATTGCGTGCATCTGCCAGATTGTATACTATTTTATTATTCGTTATATAAATATACATTCCCATTCTGTCCTGCACCGGTAACCGTCTAGTGTAGCCATTGAGGTCACATCATGTATTATTATTCAAATGTCTGTTTGTCTTGTCGTCTGACCATTATGTTTAATTATTATTGTCTAATTCTGTTTTATAAGTCTGAGTTATATGCTCGTTAAGCCATCTCGATACCAAATTAATACATAGAATTTACTCACCTAAATTTTGTGTCTTGAGTTTTATTTTATTTTTTATTATTACTATGATACGATACCGGTTGTTCCATTTTTATGTCCCGAGACATATCATTATATTATAATCAAAAACAAATTCACGATGCTCCGGCCCCTTCGGGTCTCGGCTTTTATGGTTGGCAACCTTGCCCCAAAGTAGCGGTCGGCCACATGATGTTCGGCTAACGAGTTGTTTTTTTTTGGCGAATAGTCTGACCCGTCACACACTTCATATTAATGATACATGTAAAATATATACGTATCTATATAATACTCTTTATACTAATAAATAATAATCTATTAAGATTCTTATGGTAAAACATTAATACTTTACAACTCATGAGGTTTTACCAGTCAATAGTAATCACAGTCTACCACAGTGTACTTCAATACAGTGGTTTTTAATGTGACCAATAACCATTTGGCTAAAATTCGCTCATCTATTTTTTCGCGATGTGTGTCTTATTGCTGATTGTCTAACCAATTATACGAATATGTAATAATTTATAACTAATTAATATTTTGAACATCATTTTTTTAAATTCTAATAATTGATGGTATTTTCCTTAAATAATAATAGTTAAACGTAAATCTAAAATAACAAGTGGTGCTAACGACCTTTTTGCATTCCTTTACTTGTGCCAATGGCATGTACTAAAATCGAATTTAAAAGGTCTAAAAGATACAAATACCTAAAGTTGTCATGCGATAGATTCTCTAATCTCACAGGATAGTTTTGTGTTTTATATTAGTAATATACATTAACATACAAATCCTCTAGTAGTCTCGCATAAATCTGCCATAGTTACACCATATCAGACAAACAATGTATTATAGCTACTAAAAAGTATTTGTGGCTTAAGTTTTATTATTTTATATTATTAACATTGTACAATTTGTATAATTTAGTAGCTTTTCATAATCTATAAGAAATTTATTTTTTGTATACTTTAAATAATGCTATTATAATAAACTTTTTAGATATACTCATAATTTTATTTTTTTTTGTGCTGGAATTTTAAAAGTTAAGCTTGAGTTAATATCTTAAGATTCATTTAAACAGTGTATTTTTAAGTACTTTTTTAAGATAATCAACACATTCTGGTATAAAATAGGACATAAAAATACAACACTCTAACACCTCTATATAGTATTGGCAGGTTTATAATTAAATTCCCCCTTATACCGATATACTAATATACTATTTATGGAAACGTTTATTTTGTTTAGATAAGTTGCATTTGCGAAATTAAATTAGCTATAGTATTACACGTGAGCATGAATAATATGACATTTTAAATTATAATACTTTTATAAATGAGCAAAGCTCTCGTAAATAAGATTCAATCTAACGATTTTCGAGGACAAAAATTGTTGTACATACTTATTTGAATAGTGAATAGTAAATATAAAATCAATTTTTTTTAAATTTATGAGCGATGTATTTATTTGAATACTTATAATGTACGAGGTAGGTACTTAATAGTTATGTAGTTATGTATTAAACAAAGGTTTAGTTATGGTATAACAAATCTTAACGAATTTTAATGTAAAATAAAAAAGAAATGGAATTGAAAGTGGTTTTATGAATATTTAGTACTAAGTACTTCTGTAGTTGTAACACACATTGGCTGTAGTATTTAAAAATTGAAATGATTGACTGAATGACAGTATTGTCCGTTTGGAACATAATTTTCCTTGAAGTAATTTTAATGGTATTTATAACAATACCGTTTATTAAAATTAAAATTTTAATTCCATCTGTCACAAAAAGTGAAACTTAAGGTTAAATAAAGTTTTTAATAACTAAAAACATTGGTTTATGTATTTATGTTTAAAAAAATTCCATTATACATTTGTATAACATTGCGTTATTTATTATTTTAATTATAGGTATGTATGATATACTTACGTTGATATATGTTATTCAAAAAATAGTTTTCATTTTCATTTCAGTACCTACCTTATAATATATTGTATGTGGTATATTGAATGTGTAAAACGTAATATATAAGTGATGGATCTCATTTGTTTTTAAACTATATTACCTAAGGCAACATGTTATTTGCTAATCTTCTAAGATAAATCATTTTAATTTTCACAATTTACGTTAAAAAATAAATTAAATGCATTTAAGGGAATTCAAACCATAGAATAGGAAAACTAAGAGAGTCGCTGTATAGGTGTCGAGTGTAACTCGTCATTATGAAGTAATTATTGATAACCAAGCAACCGGAAACCTTGTTACGACAATAGTTACCTATTATTATCAATTATCAGTTATAAAGTTTTCTATTCCTTACGGATAAGTTTTTTTCGTAGCTGGTGGTTAGAGCACATGCATATATGAGCTTTTTATAAATGATAAGACACGTTTGGCTTATAAATTGATAATAATTATTACACTTAAAATTGTAATTTACTGTCTTGGAAGGTGACTGTTAATAAGGTAAGCGAGTTCCCTAGTGTTGATAGTTATTGTCGGAGGAACTGCCAATTTGGACAGGTCAAAAAGTGGTGAGCGTGTTTATTTTGTACTGGTCAATCCTAAAGTTTGTGTTCAGGGTACAATATATATATGTAGTGTGTAACGAACATTTTACAACTGTAATGTATGAGAAAAATGACTTTGAACGAAGACGGTGTGTCGAGCTCAATTTTCAAAGATTTTTTATTATTGATTTATGTTACTATTGCTAATTAATTTTTTTATTAGAAGGTAGTCAATTTTAAACTCATATTATCCAAAAATATTGCATATGATATATTCTACTTTACATTATTATATTGTGCAATTTAATTGTTACTCTTAATTTATGCATCCATAAAATCAATATAAATATATGGTGACAATA